ATAAGTTTACATGTTGAATAACTCATATACTAGTAGATTATAGATAGAGTAAGGCAACAGTAGATTATAGATAGATTAAGGCAACAGTATTTTATAGATAGAGTAAGGCAACAGTAGATTATAGATAGAGTAAGGCAACAGTAGTTTATAGATAGAGTAAGGCAACAGTAGTTTATAGATAGAGTAAGGCAACAGTAGATTATAGATAGAGTAAGGCAACAGTAGATTATAGATAGAGTAAGGCAACAGTAGTTTATAGATAGAGTAAGGCAACAGTAGATTATAGATAGAGTAAGGCAACAGTAAGGTAACAGTAGATTATAGATAGAGTAAGGCAACAGTAGATTAAAGATAGAGTAAGGCAACAGTAGATTATAGATAGAGTAAGGCAACAGTAGATTATAGATAGAGTAAGGCAACAGTAGATTATAGATAGAGTAAGGCAACAGTAGATTATAGATAGAGTAAGGCAACAGTAGATTATAGATAGAGAAAGGCAACAGTAGATTATAGATAGAGTAAGGCAACAGTATTTTATCGATGTTTGAATCTCATAAATCGATTATGAAGGCAAACACCACGTCCACTTGTATTTGTAGTATTTGTATTTTTATCCATCTGATGAGTTAAGCCTCTTTCAACTGATTTTTATAGTTCGTTCTTATGTTGTACTGTTACACCACTGTCCCAGATTAGGGGGAGGGTTGGGATCCCGCTAACATGTTTAACCCCGCCACATTCTTTATGTATGTGCCTGTCCCAAGTCAGGAGCCTGTAATTCAGTGGTTGTCGTTTGTTTATGTGCTACATATTTGTTTTTTCTTCATTTTTTGTACATAAATTAGGCCGTTAGTTTTCTCGTTTGAATTGTTTTACATTGTCATTTCGGGGCCTTTTATAGCTGACTGTGCGGTATGGGCTTTCTCATTGTTGAAGGCCGTACGGTGACCTATAGTTGTTAATTTCTGTGTCATTTGGTCTCTTGTGGAGAGTTGTCTCATTGGCAATCATACCACATCTTCTTTTTTATATAAACAAATGAAACAATCAAAACCAAAGGGAATCGCATGGACTCCAAAAGGAGCGAGACTGGGTGCATCGACAGAGTAAGCGTCTCCTCCTATGCATGCAACACTCCCCTGTGCGAATCCACACTCAGTCAGAATGTCGCATTTTGGATCCAGTATGAAACTGGTAATGAACCTTTTTTATTACAAATATAGGCTTACTCTGGCTTACCCAGTGTACACTTACACATGTATACTTAACCTGATGGTATATGACATTTTATCAACCTGAACCTACATTGTTTTGAAATATTGTTTATTTAACCTATTTATCTTTTGGTCATGGTGTTGTGCGTCCTTAGACTTTTGACTTATATTATATTTCCTTGATATTTGCATCTGACACGACGATTTCTCTGTAAGCATGACGTAATACGCTGCATGTAACTTGAATGCATGGCTGTTGAAAAGACTAATTCCTATTAACACTTAATAACAAAAATACGAATCAGGTGTTGACACCACCACACTCGTCAAATGCATGCGAGACATAAACAATACTTAGAATTAAATTGTCAACTCACAGATAAACGAAGAATCGTTTGCAGTCGGTGACCGAGTGGTCTTAGTAGTTCATGTACAATGCTGAATAGACTCGTTTGCAGTCGGTGACCGAGTGGTCTAAGTAGTTCATGTACAATGCTGAATAGACTCGTTTGCAGTCGGTGACCGAGTGGTTTAAGTAGTTCATGTACAATGCTGAATAGACTCGTTTGCAGTCGGTGACCGAGTGGTCTAAGTAGTTCATCTTCAATGCTAACTAGCCGTTTACGAATTCGAACTCCAATCTTAATTGGCTAAGATTGCAATGTTTTCTTGCAGAGGGTCATGGTGCCCTTACCTCATGAATTAAAACTGGCCGCCATGAAATAAGGAAGTATCCTGTAAGTTGCATTGAATTTCAAGAAATTTGATGGACTAACACATTACAGCATGTTTACGGATTTGTTTTAGTCGATTGATGTAAAAACTGTTATTTGAATAATTAAATGGTTTCTATTTCATTGGAGCATAGACAATAAGACATTGATGCTAACACGATAGGATTCATAATATCGATGGTCTATCATAAATCATTCTTCAAAGCACATATTTATAAAAAAAATATGAAAAATCTGAAAGTTCAACTCACAATAGCTTGACTAAAGGATGGAGATAGACACAAAGATGTATGAATGCTAATCCAATATCGAGCTTAATATCAGGTGTATATTGTGAGTACTTCTTCATGAAAAAAGAAAACAGCACACAAAGTAATGGTCTAGTTTGTGTAATCATTATAAACCTATTTAATAATCAAGATTTTAGTGGGAACTAAATGGTAAAGATTGCTTTCATTTTCGATGTGAACTTTAATTTAAACATTACATTGAAGTAAGCAGTAGAATGCAATATTTTGAGTCGGAGTTATCTTTTTTTTTGTCCATAATTGTTGTTGTTGAACCTATTGTAAAACAGATAGGTTCATACACCATACACAATTTTGTTTTCCATTAAAAAAAAATTCTTGAGAAGTATGGTTATAAACATACATATAATTTTGTAACTTGAATACTTGAGTATCATTAATATTTTTAGAGTATTAACCTTACCGTACAATGTTGTTTGTGTTCTCAATAGTAGAGATGATGTCTGAAGAACAAAGTAGCGAGCCAGTGACAATAGGGTTTTCATTGCATATCATGCAACATTACAACATGTTGACTTTCAAGTTATTGAGGTATATCTAATGGGACGAATCCTCATATTTTGCTTGAGATGAAAATGCATGGAAGATAAAGCAACAGCATAGCAAATATCAATAATCTACTGTAAATTCTTTTTCATAAATACACCTTATTAATATTTGATCAATATATAAATTACAAAGTCTAAGGGGTTTTAACAATTTGCTTATTTTTATGTAACTTGAAATAAAGAAAACCACAGGTGCAGTTAAGTCTACCTCGTATCTTGACTAACATCTAGCATCTAGCATCACCAAATGAGTCAACTATCCACCAGTGACCAAATGGGTCAGTATGCCTAACGCGCCTCAGACTTAGGAACTCAAAAATAGTGTGTAAACAAAAAATCTCTTTGCAGTGATAATGGACATATTATAATTTTTAACAAGTGACTGAACTAAACTATTTGCGCTGATTTGAAAAGCAGAGGACCATAGAATAAAGGTGTAAAAACTATCAAGTTCTTAAATGTATGCAAAGGACTAAATTTTCAAAGAAATTATTGTGTGAAAATGGGTTTTTTTTTTACCTCGAGAAGCCGCATCACAAAGGGTTTTTCGGGGTATACTAAATTACGGGAAAATGAATCTTACTTCGAACCCCGAAAATTCACCACATATATGAAAATGTCAGCTTCGAAACGAGCCATGATGCATATTTAATTTTCGATATGGGCAGATGAATTGATGAAAAGGCTACCATTACCGCCTACATGAAATGAATTCCGCATCTTGACACAAATGACGTTGATGTTAGCAGTTATAGGTCACCTTACGGCCTTCGATGAACCAAACCAAAACCTCATAGCAAGCTATTAAAAAAAAACGTAAAACAATTCAAACGAAAAAAAAAAACCAACAGCCTGATGTATGGACCAGACAATAAAACAAAATAATTATGATATACTGCAACAAACAGCAACCACCGCATTACAGGGCCTGATAGACACATACAGAATGTGGAGGGGTTAGACATGTTGGTGAATCCCTAACCAGTGACACTGTTTGTAACATCACAACCCAAGAACTATAAAAAAAAATTGAAAATGGCGTGACTCATTAGATCGATACAAAGCACACACAAAAAATATAACACAAAGTACCAATCTGAGAGTACTCGCAGGTACTGAAAGCTAGTTCAAAGCCAATTACAACCAATTAAAAACTAGATGTGTCGGAACGGCACGAATGGCCCCGTCTCAAAAAGTTGAATATTTGCAATTTCAACAACACATGTGGAAACAAAGAAGCATGGATAGTATCCAGCTCTCAAGACCAAAACTAGTTTGATGAAAAATTTCCTTAATCAATGAGTAGTTAAATTTCAAACTATCAGCAAACAGGAAGTGGATGTACTGAAGTTCTGTTGAAACGACATGAAAATCAGCATATCAGCACGAAACATAAACTTGATCTGTAACTCATTATGGTAGACTCACATACCAAAAATCAGCCCAATACCTGAAGTCGTTTACAAAAAAAGTCTGTATAACTGTGATTTTCAACAATTTATCAAAGTCCAAAGCCCGTAATTTCTAAATGTAGCAACATTCGACACGTCTGCATATTGAGTATATATCTCCCTATAGAGAAGACAATTCAGAGATTGCTTTTCCTACATTTTTTTATTTGAAAGATGTTTGCTGCTTATAAGTAAGATATTAAACCAAGGGTCCCTAGCGGTAAGGTTGAAGAAATTCCTTCGAAATTTCATGGACGTTTCATGGACGCCATTGCCATTTGGTTGCTCATTATGGACTATCTGTGTCACAGATGACCATGAAGATGTTCCAATTGTCGTACCCACAATCCCATCCTCTTTTCTTCAACAAAATTGTTCTTACCACAAGTTGTTGCCACATGTGGAGCAGGATCTACTTTACTTTTCGGTGATCACCCTTGTGTTTTTTCTGTGGGGTTCCTGTTGTCGTGTCTTTAATTTCGTTTGTTGTGTTTTATAGACGGTTTGTCTTTTTGTGTTTTTGCCATGGTTTTGACAATTTTTCTTTTCGACTTATGAATCTTAATTGTCCCTTTTGGTATCTTTCACCTCCTTTTTCATGCAATTCAGATGCATGGAAATTTATGCAGTCGAATATAACAGATCAATGATCTATCATAAGACCTTGGGATTACCTTCTCATTGAACTTTACCTCACATCATCATTAATTTATAACAAATATCAATACATAAAAAAATAAAAACACATTAGTTATGTCATTTATTTCTCCTATTACAGTAGAGTAAGTTAAAAAAAAGTTAAAGCAATTCTTTATAATAAAACATTAAATAACTTTAAGAGATATAACATATCACTCTACACAATCAACTATTTTTCTTTGTTAACATTATTTTCTCGTCCTCTGGAATGAACATTTTCTCCCAGAAAGAGAAAGCATTCGCGCTATTGCAATGTCAACAAAATAAATCAGAAAATAAGTTCCTCACATCAGGAGGGATGTCTGTTATCTTTGGATTTCAATTACATACTACATAGCCAAGTTTAAAGCAAAATTCAGATGGAAATGTACTGTTACTTCTCTTTTAAACTACCGCAGGAAGGAAAGTTGAAAATGACTTCTAATCTCTAATTATCTAATGGTTTTAACCGGTTATAAAGACACCTACCTACCTACCTATCCTCTTCGTCCAAGGTGGGACAAAAGGCCATAAGGTAAGGAAGAAAATTACAGCTATTTGTATTATAATGCTGTAAGGTTATACAGATAATTATAGCTATTTCAATAGCATTATAACTTAACTACATGTATTTCAAAAAGAGAAAAACATATTTTATACATTGCACTTTGTTTAAAATTATTAATAACTGAGATAAGTTTCTCTCGCTGGCACTAAGAAGTTTCACATTAAGATCAATTTAGACATTTTCTTCCCGTTACATTGGTTACAACCTAAGTATATGACTTCTAAAGAATGACCATATTCATCTATAACTTACGAAAGGAAATCAGATACAGATGTTTATAAAGCTATAATAAGATATCATAACCATAATTACTACATCAACTTGTTTACGTAAAGCTGTAACCTTACTCTCCAATTAAAGTATTCATTATTATGTCTTACTTTTTTCAGATCTTAAGAATACTTACTTTAATATTCTTATAGACAGTGATTATAGATCATAAAAAAATTATTCTCTTTCATAAAAATTATAAATAAGCATAACTTATCCTTTCTTGTTTTTTTTCGAAGTCTTGATAATGGTAACCAAACATTTAATAAAATAAAAGAAACCTGTAATCCTATAAAATTGTTTTCATTTGGAAAAAAGACTTTAAATTTTTAATCTTGATGGGACCAATTCATTTTTGCACTAAATTTCAAAAATAATTTTTCATGAGGTTCCGCTTGTCCTAAATTTATACAATTCTATGCTTGAGATATCAGAAGTCAAATGGATTTTGTCTTACAACTGACAACTAGCTCAAATTTAACAGTAAAACTGCAGTATAACACGGTAAATGCTGAGACAAGGATAAATGCATTAAATAACAAATAATATAATGATCAATACTCTATTTCTTTATATTTCCATACTATATAGTAATATTTAGCTATTTTTTACTTCTTCTCGTAAGTGTTTTTAAAAGTATCAGTCCATATCATAATCAAACTAAGTGATTCACATGAATAAAGCCTACAAATATTTAAATTTGATGTTTTACTTACTGTTGTGTACACATCATGGAATGAACATTGGTTTTTCTATTTTGCCTGTTTTTAAAAGTTCCAAAATCGAATCAAAAGTTACAAAGAAATGAACTGCAGAAAAAGAAGTTGTCTTCCATCACTGATTTCCTAGTGCATTCTCTATAATTTATATTCCTTTAATTTAGGTTAAAATTAGTAGTATGCAGCTATCCTTTTAACTTGGCATATTGAAATAAATATTTGTAGACTTTCCAGCCTTGAATCACCTTTAGCATGATTTAAGATGGATTTGTACTTTAATATCATTTTAACAGAGAGTGATATAAAATTTCAAAATTATGAAACATCTTTGTTTTAATGTATATAGGCCACTATAGCCATCACATATTAATAAATTTTGAAAAAAATAAAACTGATCATAAGTTTGTTACTTTATTTCAAACAAACATAAATAAAAACAAAAATTAAACCCCATAGAAACTGTTTCAATCCTCTATAAAAATTAACTAGAAGAGAATTAACAAATTTTCCAAAGTAATGACATTCCCTTTGCAAAGAATTTCCAGGTCTTTTTAAAATAATTACATGGTCAGTTTATGTCTGAAATACCTGAAAATGGCTACATGTTTCAAAATCTGAAAATCTAGCATAAGGGAGCTACCATTTGATTTGTATGGGGGGCTAGGATGAAATTTGAAAAAAATAGGCAGGACAGGAGTTTTGAGTAAAAAAAAAGGTAGGATGAGACACTTTGAAAAAAAAAAGGCAGTATGACAATTTATGTAAAAAAAGTCAGGATAAACTGAAAAAAAAATGCAGGACCGAATAGAGTGAAAAATAAAAAAGTTGGACAGAGATTACAACTAAAAAAAAATGCAGGACAAAATTTTTCATCCTAGCCACCCATAAAAATCAAATGGCAGCTCCCTATTCATGAAAATTGACCATAATGTAGTACGGGTAAATCCTTAATGACAAGATATATAATCATCCTATAAACACACAGAACAAGACAATGTGATTGTAGACAAATTAAACAGATTAATATACAAGAATAACAAAGACTAAATATACATAATTAACACTAAAAACGTGTACAATGCTGTGTAGAAAAGAATAACATAGAAAATATTGCACTAGAACTCCACACAGAATTGTATATACACACATATAATGCCAAAGCCAATAGATTGTCTGGATGATAAATACACAACACAAATGTTGTTTTCCCGAGATTGTTTTAATTCTGTTTTTCAAAAAATGCTTAAAAAGCATAGATGAAACCAACATAAAAACTGATCATAAGTTATATGGTTTGCTACTGACCCCCCACGGATCCATAGTGCTACTGACCCCCACGTATCCATAGAGGATTAGTAAAATCCATATGGGATGAAGCAGAGCACTGATTAAAGAATTATCTTTCTGAACCAAGGTATCTCTTTAAATTGTCCTATTTTTTACTTCATTTTACAGACTGGTTACAAGTAACATGTAATTGATTGATTGGCAAATATCTTCTTTCTGTCCACAAGCTTTGAATATAGACCATTAAATAACGTTGATGATGCAACAATGAAGTTTATTTTTGGCATTCTATAAAGCTATTAAGATTTTTATCATTTTTATTAATTATCTTTAAAAAAAGATAATCATAATTACGATTCTTTTTTTAACTGCGATAAATGTTATCAAATAGTGTTATTGGTTTTATTTATTTTCACGGTTATAAATCCTTGTCCTTTTATATACTGTGACGTTTATTTATCATCCAGAAAATGTGAAAAAATATTCAATACTTATATATAAATATTTACAATACTATTATTACTAAATTTAACAAATATTAAAATATGACTAATAAATTGACAGTTGTTGAAAACGTTGTAAATCATGTACAACAGATGGGAGTTTGAGGATTTAAAAATTCTTTAATCTATCCAGAGTAAATTTAGGCCAAGATTGTCAGGATCAAATAGGACTTGTGGTTGCAATGAACTATTGTTGTTGCTAGCTTTAGCTGGACTGCCTATTTAGTGTAAAACATTAACATATTGGACCTAATCCTTATTACAATTTTCTGTCTTAAACATAATAAATGATTTAATAATAATGCAATTACAATTTCCTTCCATCTGCTCATTAGCCAAGAACTCTGATATTTTATAATTGCCAAGAACATTAATAAATATTTGACACAGTAGATGACACCAATATTTGACATTGCCAAGAACATTTTTTTTGACACTGCCATGGAAATTTATACCTACAAACCACTAGCAAAAATGTACTTGACACTGCCAAGAACATTGTATTAATTTTTTACACTGTGAAGAACACTAATATTTGAAACTGCCAAGAACATTTATTTGTGACACTGCCAAGATCATTACTGTATTTTTTACACTGCCAAGAAATTTATACTTGACACTGTAAAGAATGTTTTCACTTGATGCTGCCAATAACATTAGTACTTGACATTGCCAAGCATAATAAGACATGACACTGACAAGAACATTTATACTCGACGCTGCCAAGAACATTTGTATGTGACATTGCCAAGCAAATTAGAACTTGACACTGCCAAACACATTAGAAGTTGACACTGCCAAGCACATTAGAACTTGATACTGCCAAGCACATTAGAACTTGACACTGTCAAGAACATTTATACTTGACACTACCAATAACATTAGTACTTGACACTACCAAGAACATTTATACTTGACACTACCAATAACATTAGTACATGACACTGCCAAGAACATTTATACTTAATACTGCCAAGAACCTTTATTTTTGACAATGCCAAGAACATCATTACTTTATATATGTCAGTAAAAAATGAAATATACTTTTCATACTGATTAAAACTGTATGTAACTTTACAACAGGAATGTTTAATATCACAGAATAATTGAAATGATTAAAAATTCTCGCTTCTCACCATGAAAACATCTCAACCTAGTCCACTTAAGTAAGATTAATCTAATTCTATCAAGAGCTATCAAAAATGGATTGTTATTAAAATCAAAATTGCTCAAGGAGAACTTAGGTAAAATCACTTGAATCAATATGAAATAGATTAAGAGTTTAAACATTGAACTGAATTAGGTTTTGCAAAATCTATAACAAAAATGAGGATGAATTCCAATGTATATAAAAAATATCATCTTAGCATGATGGAGAAGAAAAGACATGATAGATACCATTAAAATGGAAATTAAATACTGTCAATTTAAATGATTCCATGGATACTAATTCAACAGGAAATTCCTGTTTTCCAGGATATTCATTTTATAAATTTAAAATGTATACCTATCATAAAATAAACCATTGATGTATCACCAAGTCTTCTGCTGAGAGGCAACAAAAGATCTGTTAAACAAGTCTCCCAAATGTAACAATAAGACCAGAGGATTTCAAGAATTTCCTGTTTTATGAAAGTACACAAGCTACGACCTAACACTTATTATAACTATAAACTTTGTAGACAGCCACTTTGGTGTTTGAACTATCAATGTTAAATAATTCTAAGGTATGCATGAAAAAAAGCTAATTATCAGCTTATTTTACACACATAAAATGAAAATTTTTTTTTTTAATAATTCTATGTGTCCATCCGTATCACATCTATAAGCAGCTTGAATACATATCACTAGGATAAACGACAACACCGTCTTATAGAAATGTATAACAATCTTTAACAACACAGTTATACAACATCTATATATGTTATGTTTTTGGTTGCATCAGTTCTCGTCCATCTGGTTTACTATGCCATTTCATCAGTTGCTTACAGTTTTCAAATCTTCCAGGAAACCTTCAGGTGTTAATAAATGAGTAGCACCTAAAAAATATATAAAAAAATTGATGCATAAAGATTGATTGACTGGTGTTTAACACCGCTTTCAGCAATATTGGCTATTTTGTGGAGATCAGTATTTATTGGTGGAGGAAGCCGGAGTGCAAGGAGATTCAAACTCACTTCCTCAGAGTTGACAGGCTATTGATACAGTAGTTGGACTACTTAAACCATGCATAAAAAGAACACAAACATATATATATTCAAATATTCAACTAGAGTGCACATATTAAAATGTATTGCCTGCTTTACTTATCATCAAATTTTATGTTGAAAGCTTTTAAGGTCATGGTCTCACAACCCTATTAACAGAAGTTATGATTGTGTAACGTCGGGGGTTTTTCTTTGTGCCAAACACCATATCTAGCTTAAAATTATTGAGGATCAACAAGTGGTTCCTTACTAATGATACACCTGCTTAAAGTATTCTGAATTTCATATGAAAAACTAGGAGAAACCTTTCTTCATACATCTTATATCTTTTTAAAAACAATACTAGAGTTTTGACACTTCCTTTTATATTAACAGAATGATGGCACCTTGTATGACATTAAACACTACTAACCTATTAATACTTCCTGATTTTTACATGACTGTGTCAACTTGTATGACATTAAACACTACTAACATATTAAAACTTCCCAATTTTTACATGACTGTGTCACCTGGTATAACATTAATTTAAACACTACTAACCTATTAATACGTCCCAATTTTTAAATGACTGTGTCACCTTGTATGACATTAAACACTACTAACCTATTAATACTTCCCAATTTTTACATGACTGTGTCACCTTGTATGACATTAAACACTACTAACCTATTAAAACTTCCCAATTTTTACATGACTGTGTCACCTGGTATGCTGTTCTCATTTCAGCATAGGAACAACCTCCCATAATAAAGATGATCAGTCTTGGTCCACTCTTGTAGCTTGGGGGGACTTTTTCTTTGTGCCAAACCCCATATCTAGCACTACTGTAATAACAAAACAAATCAAGTATTAGATATCAACATTCATTGCAATATGGATTGACATCCATCGTATTGTCACTAACACATGTAATGGACATTTGACTGATTTTTGATTTTTGATTTTTAAATTATATTTTCTAGAATCTTGAATAAAGCACAACAGTAACTGTCACATGATATTTAATTACTCTTTTATCTTTTTTTTTTAAATCTATTAAAAGATTTCTATCATTAGACCTAATGGATAACTTTCTTTTAAATTACTTGAACAAATTGTTAGTTCATGTTGAAAATAAATTGCCTCGCTGAGCGCAGCTGGATATGACCGCAGATGTCCAACCCTGAAAAGTAATTAAATTTTTGACACATAATAGGTTTCTGACACAGAATAACTGTAGTCAAAGAACTTCAAATTGGTTATATGATTTGAATTTATATTCAATTTTTTGCTTTTGTGCAATACACTATGCGAATTGACACCCCCCCCCCCCCCCAAAAAAAAATACATTTTACCCCGTTTTTTTGCATTTGTGCAAAACACTATGCTGTTGAATATTAACCCCCCAAAAAAAATATTTGAAGAAATTTTCTTTTAATTTCTGAAATCTGAAATGAGAAAAATTGTCCCCCTCCAATTTTTTTCACCTCCCCTCTTTCCCTTATTCAAAAATATAATTCTTTCCCTCAAGTTATGGTCAGTATTTCAGACAATCATCATTTCTTAATACATAATTTACAAGCAGTGTAAGGGAGGTAATCAAACATTGTTATTTAAATTGATTTGGATTACCTCCCTTACACTGCTTTTAAATTGTCTCAATTGTCCTTTCACCAGAAAAACCCTTGTTTTTCCCTTTTTTTGCCCCTAATTCCTAAATGGTTTGAGCCATAACCCCCCCAAAGTCAATCCTAACCATCCCTTTGTAGTATGGAAACTTGTGGTATAATTTCAGAGAGATTCATACACTTTAACACAAGTTATTGTCTGGAAACTACAAAAATGCTTATTTGGGCCCCTTTTTTGGCCCCTAAAAACCCCCAAAATCAATCCAATCCTTCCTTAAGTGGTTATAAACCTTGTGTTAAAATTTTATTGATTTCTATTAACTTATACTAAAGTTATTATCCGGAAACCATCTGTCTTCGGACTACGCTGATGACGACGACAACGTAATACCAATATACGACCAAAAATTTTTAATTTTTGCGGTCGTATAAAAATCGCTACAAAATTATCAACAATCTGATTTTTATTTATTAATTTCATATATCTATGTAAATCATATGAATAAGTATTGATAAACTCCTGCCTCTATAGTAATGGCAATGTCCATGTTTTGCCATAGGAAACGCAAAAAAAAAAAATTCCCATAATTTTTAAAGGTGCACATCAACATATGATACAAAGGACTTCTGTCAAGTAACTTTCCATTCCTATTTAAGCTGTAGATGTTTTTGCATTGGTAAGCTTTAGTAGCAGACATTCTGAAGAAAAACAGTAGGTCTGCAAATATATACATTGTTACAAAAATAATCTAGGAGTTAAAGTTTATTTCCTGTAAAGGAAGACAAATTCGAAATTCATCTTAGAAAATTTTATAATTGCTTGTGCTACAAACAATTCTAAAGTAAATACACAAATAAATAGAGGAAATTTTTTGTACTCTTAAATGAAAATAATATCAAAACTTGCTCCAAGGTAAAATTCCCATTGCATGGTATTATATCATCCAGAAGACTAAACAATATCACATTTATAGTGGGCAGAAAGTCCTTCCAAGATAGATCACTAAACTTTGCCCTATTTAGCCAAAGGGTAGATCTTTAATCTAAACAACAGACAGGAGATTCATTATATGAGGTTTCCCTTGAAATGTCACTGTCTCATTGGACAATCACTTTCAAATTCAAATTAAGTACACTTGTACTCTTCCTGTAATTCTGAAAACCTGTTTCCTCCAAAGACAATTGGCTAATTTTGTAATAATTACAGATTTTCAGTAACGTACACAATAATGATAATATCATGTACTTTTTTTTTAATTTATCTGATCAGTTCTATTGGTTTCCTATTTGAAAATAAAATGCTTCGCTGGGCGCAGCTTGATACGACCGCAGAGGTCGAACCCTGAACAGTTGGGGCAAGTATGGACACAACATTCAAGCTTGATACAGCTCTGAATTTGGATTGTGATTAAATATTTGACACAGCATAGGTTTCTGACACAGAAAGAATGTGGTCTTAGAACTTGAATTTTTTTAATTTACCTATTATGGTCCAATGTCCAAAATCAAAATACATGGTTAGATTCAGCATATCAAAGAAACCAATATATTCAATTTTTGTTGAAATCAAACAAAGTTTAATTTTGGACCCCAACTTGGACAAACTTGAAAACTGGGCCCATAAACAAAAATCTAAACACATGTTTAGATTCAGCATATCAAAGAACCCCAAGAATTCAATTTTTGTTAAAATCAAACTAAGTTTAATTTTGGACCCTTTGGACCTTAATTTAGACCAATTTAAAAAACGGGACCCCAAATTAAAAATCTAAAAACATGGTTAGATTTGGCATATCAAAGAACCCCAATAATTCAATTTTTGATGAAATCAAACAAAGTTTAATTTTGGACCCTTTTGACCTCAATATGAACCAATTTGATAGCAGGCCCACAAATAAAGAATCTAAATACATGGTTAGATTCAGCATATCAAAGAAACCCATATATTCAATTTTTGTTGAAATCAAACAAAGTTTAATTTTGTACCCCAATTTGGACCAACTTGAAAACTGGGCCAAAAATCTAAAATCTAAATACATGTATAGATTCAGCATATAAAAGAACCCCATATATTCAATTTTTGTTGAAATCAAACAAAGTTTAATTTTGGACCCCAACTTTGACCAACTTGAAAACTGGGCCCATAATCAAAAATCTAAACACAGGTTTAGATTCTGCATATTAAAGAACCCCCAAGAATTCAATTTTTGTTAAAATCAAACTAAGTTTAATTTTGGACCCTTTGAACCTTAATGTAGACCAATTTAAAAAACAGGACCCAAAATTAAAAATCTAAATACACGGTTAGATTTGGCATATCAAAGAACCCCAATAATTCAATTTTTGATGAAATCAAACGAAGTTTAATTTTGGACCCTTTTGACCTCAATATGAACCAATTTGATAGTGGGGTCCACAAATAAAAAATTTAAATACATGGTTAGATTCAGCATATCAAAGAACCCCATATATTCAATTTTTGTTGAAATCAAACAAAGTTTAATTTTGGACCCCAATTTGGACCAACTTGAAAACTGGGCCAAAAATCAATAAAATGCTCCTCTGGGCGCAGCTTGATACGACCGCAGAGGTCGAACCCTGATGAATTGGGGCTAGTATGGACACAACATTCAAGCTTGATACAGCACTGAATTTGGATTGTGATTAAATATTTGACACAGCATAGGTTTTTGACACAGAATGAATGTGGTCTAAGAACTTAAAAATTTTTCAATTTACCTATTTGCTTTTATATATAAATCAGAAATAACCAATTTAAAATGGGAAATTTTAAAGAAAAAAAAAGGGAAAAAAAATCCCTCCCCCAAATTTTTGAACCCCCTTATGATTCATCACCCCCAAACTCAATCCCAGCCTTCCCTTTGTGGTATGGTACCTTGCAGTACAATTTCAGAGAGATCCATACAATTGAACACAAGTTATTGTCTGGAAACTAGAAAAATGCTTGTTTTAAGGCCCCTTTTTGGCACCAATTCCTTAACGTTTAGGGCAATTACCCCCAAACTCAAACCCAGCTTTCCCTTTGTGATATGGAACCTTGTAGTACAATTTCAGAAAGATCCATCCCTTTGTGGTATGGAAACTTGTAGTATAATTTCAGAGAGATCCTTACACCGTTCCACAGTTATTGTCTGGAAACTAAAAAATGCTTATTTTTGGCCCCTTTTTGGCCCCTAATTTCTTAACTGTTGGTACCATAACCCCCAAAATCAATCCCCACCTTCCTTTTGTGGTATTGAACCTTATGGTAAAATTTCAAAGAGATCCATTCACTTAAACTAAAGTTAGAGTGCGAAAACCAATGTGTCTTCGGACGACGACGACGACAACGACGCCAACGTCATACCAATATACGACCGCATAAAAATCATGTTTCTTTTCAGGAAATCAATACCATGAATACAGAAATCATTAATAAGCATATATTTCTGTTTCAATCATTTCTTATATAACTTTAAACAATTAAGATTATGAACACTTGGGTTTGTTAACTGGAATCGGATATTGACCACTCATGAAGCTCTGGTCGTGCAGCTAAAAATTGGCGATTATTTATATAATTGCCATCCAGTGATCTCCCCAGCCCGTTTTAGCGACGCTATAATTATTTTGAGGATGCTATTTTTTCTTGTCTCTATACCGCAAAACCAAGTCCTCATTTTTGAACTTTAATCTAATTACCGCTTGTGATCATAAAAATTATATCACCTTTAATTGTAATCCCTTAAAGTCGGACAATAGAGGCAATTTAGAGTGATTAAATAGGTGTTAATTGCCTTTTGGGTGATAACTGTTTGGATACGAATACTTCAAGCTGACACTTATGACATGACTAATAACACATGGTCCAATCGCAAATTTTGACATCGAGAAAGTGTAATCAGAAAATCATAAACAATTCAAAATCTACGTTTGCATCATGGAAATTCAAAGATATAAACTATTTATTTCTTTAGAAAAGAGGTTTTGTCGTATGTTATTACAACTTTTAAAGAATTATTTTCTTTCCCTCCCGGTACTTGTTACTAGATAGCGTATATTAAATATTTTGATTTTCAGCAAAATAACTTTGATACTTCATTAGAAAGTGATCATAATTGCCTTAGTTAATGTTTCATGCTATTAATGCATTAAAAGCGTCATATTCATTCCTAATCCCTTATCAAACATTGTTTATTTTCGTTAATTTTTCTTCGACCGCCATTGAAATATTTGGGAAAACTTCGGATTGGATGCGGGATTCATCGAAAGCGGACCAGCTATGACCAAAATCAGCATTTTTACGATAACAACTACAGATGCACAAATGGCACAGTAGACAGAATAATAATGATCCCAAGAGAGAAAACTACGCATTCCACACGCATTAACAGACTATTTGTTAGATCTCCTTGCTAAATGTATTCATTTTGTAAATGCATTGTTTCAATATACTGATTACAGTAGCTTAACTTTGTTAAAAATATATATCATTTTGATAAGAAATAACTGTGACTAATACATTAAGTCCCATGAAACAATGAATTTCATAAACATAATAAAATGAATACTGTGGATTCATTAATATTCGTTGGATACCAATTTTCGTGGATTTCGTTGGTACAGAGGAACCACTAATTTAAATGTTCAACGAATTACAAGTTTTCTAAAGGAATGTATGCAGACTTTGCCAAAACCACGAAATTATATATCCACTAATATGAAAGTTTTTCTCAATCCACGAAAATTGGTACCCATGAAAATAAATGAATCCACAGTAGTTTTTTAATTGAAATTTTATTGCTATATGGTACTTTCTCTTCCTTTTTTATATAAAAACCTGTTCTTTTTTGTATTAGATATTTAGTTGGTAGTTTCTGACAAGAGGAAAACAATTTTTTTGTAACTATAAATGAATATAGAAGACATAAACTGAAATAACTGTTATATATACTTTAATTGTATTCTCAGTTATGAATTGAACAATAATATAAACATAACTTAAAGGAAATAGAGCATCGCCGCAACGTGACAAATGACATTGAAAAATACAGTTTATTTTTTTTTACGCCAAATGTGATGCTATCCAAAATTTCTGGGGAGAACACTGCCATCAATTACCGGTATGTTAAACCAAAATATGTGTCCATATATAGGATATCATTCCCTGCTCACACTATCACATTTCCATGTTTAGTGAATTGCAAAATCTGGGTCACGATCCTAATTTTGCATACATATATATATATATATATATATTAAACATTTCACTTCATAGTAAAAATGTATATATAAAAACTTTTATATTTTGATGTGACCACAAACTACCTTAAACAAAAACTTAAACCTGGTACACACTATCACATTTCCATGGTCAGTGAACCATGTCTTGCCAATGTATTTTAATGTAACTGAAGCTAATGAAAGGTTTTTTTTTATAGTATCTTTAATATGTACCATTCAAACTATCAAACTGATCAGAAGCAAAAGATAATTTTGTCAATGACCTTTTTGTATGCCATTTAAATGGCATATCAACAGGAAAGAATGATTTATAGGATTAAATATATACCTATATACCCCTCTTACTAACCTACTGCCAAGATTATTTTATGATTTTCTGGACAGGTATTTGTATATGAAAACATATTTACCTTATGGTAGGTTTATTAAATCCTCCTGATCTTGGAGCACCACCAGAGAGGAATGGAAACTGTCTGTTATCCAACTTTTCTTCAACAGCATCCTACAAATAAAAGTTGAACTATCTAAACTTTCTCTGACAAAAACATTTAGAACAAAACTTACATCCTCATTCAAAGTTTAGAGTACAATATATTATCAGAGGTCTGGTCCACATGTTACTTTGGGAATTACATTTTAGTAATATGAAACTAAATGACTTAAAAAATATAATAAAAATCTTACCATTTTGGATGGTGAGTGCATTTCAGACTTCAATTTTTACATTTTGAAATTCTTTAATGTTATCTTCCATGAAACACATAATTAAAGTTAACCCTATTATGCAGTTCTGCAAAATCTTATGTTTATATACTGCCTACAAGTTTACCAAATATAGTTGGTTGCAATAGTGTCAAACTGATAAAAAGTCATAAATATGTTAGTGCTGTCTATTTATGTACAAACCACATTTTTTAAGACCCCACTGTAGGCAACGGGGGCATTAAGTGTTACCCTTGACTGTCTGTCCATCCTTTTGTCCTTCCCATTTTCGTTTCCGCACTCTAACTTAAGTTTGTCTCATGCAAATTTTATGAAACTCATACACAATGCTAAGAACCACAACACACAGACATTATGAAGAGTTATGTCCCTTTTTAACTTAGAAAATTGCAAAGCTTGAGAGGGGGCATTCGTATCCTTAGACACATTCTTCTTTTATTTCCCATGTGTCAACAATAAATCTATCAAAATCATCTAACTTAAAAATCAATATCAGTATAAAATTTTGGAACTGTGGTATGATTGCCAACGAGACAACTATCCACAGGAGTTCAAATGACGAAGATAAAAGTATAGTTATAGGTCACATAACACTTTTATTTTAAATTTAAATGAGATGACAATATTTGATTAGTCAAAGTGAGGACTATGAGAATGTGTAATAAAAATCTAAATTTTGAAGTTGAATCTATCACTGATATACATCTAGACTCCTTAGCATTTTTTTTTAATTCACACTCAAGTGTTCTGTCCAGGAGATCTGCTTTATATTCTGTACAGTAAATACCAAAATTTCTATTCTTAATTTTTCCTCAAATTTTAAACCTTCTATGAATGATTGATCCATTGGTGTTTAACACCACTTTCAGCACTATTTGCTATTTCGTGGTGGTCAGTTTTTATTGGTGGAGGAAGTCAGAGTGCCCAGAGAGAACCACTGACCTTATGACAGGAAAACTGATAATCTTAGTCAATTAAGATTGGCGTCCAGCTTTCATGCCGAGGGTTGGAACTCACCACCTCAGTGATGACAGGCTAGTGATACAGTAGTTGAACTACTTATACCAGTCAGCCAATGAGGCCCCTCCTTATATGAATGAACATTAAGACAATAGTTACCTCCATAATATCTTTGATGTATGGTGTCCACCGAGACATTTGGTATGTCCCTTCTATTTGCTTTTTCCTGTTAAATGGCTGATACGGTTGTGATGCCTTCTTTCTGCCACCCTGTACAAATATAACAATTTATATAAAATAGATATAAACATATATCTAGTTTTACCTGCAACTTGTTGGTAAGAGGGGACAACCCTGTTTTAGAACAGTAAAATGACAGGACTGTGAATTATATTCAGTTTGTATGAAAGATAGTAATTTAGATTGCATAGCTAAAAAAAAGTTACAACTAATACATAACTGCAACCCAGTAAATATTCTCAAATGTAAAAAAGGATAAACTTATTAAATCCACATCAAAGAAAAGGTAAAGACAAATAGAACAAGAAAGGTGATCATTACTATCCCTCTGTAAAGTATCATGCATTTTATTTCCAGAATGTAAAAGTTAAAATATCATGAATCACAAAAAGAAACTTACAACAAACATTTCCTGATCAAGATTTTTTTTAAGGGTAAGGTGAACAGTAAGTTTTAAATTATTTCAGAATATTTAATATTTAGATGCTCTCAAAAAAATACATTTAAAAACAAAATGCTGGTACAAGAGTATCTTCCAGATTTAAAAACTAAGCTCTGAAGAACAAGGAGTTGCAGTCTATATCAAACATTGACAATACATTCCTTACTCAGTGGGTATAATATGACTCCCAGGAAGACCTGATCACAAAAATAAACATACCCATCATAGGTGAATTATTACATTACCGGTACAATGTTCCTTTACAATTTTTTTTAATTCAAAGGAGTTGATTGAAGCTCCCTTTTTAAATATTGAAAGGCATGTATACATGTGACTTGGTTAAAATGTATCTTTTAAAAAAATTTAAATAAACATGATCAACAGGTCAGTTAACTTGTAAATATCTTCTATTCTTAATTTTGAATAACCTAAATTAATTGCCTCCTTTAAAGGGGTCCAAAACATATTTGGGACAGCTAGACATTTCTTCTATCCTGTTTTACACCTTTCTTAACTGTACAAACTGCTGTAAAGCATTCAAAACAGTCATTCAGACTCAGGTCAAGTGATTTTGTGCCAAAATTATTAGCATGTGCTTGTGTTCTGTATATTCTGGAATTTTAAATGAAATTAAAGGATCTCCTTGAAATCAGGGCTTCTTGTCCACTTAGAACAATGTTAGAAAGTAAGTTTGTACAAGTTACACATACATGTACTTTGACAAAAATACTGAAGACATTGATACAAAACAGTAAGAACTTTGCTTGAAATTTTGATGGTTTGTTAAAATTTTTGAGTTTCTAAATTAAATGTTGCACAAATGTAATGTTCATATATATTTTTTTTATCAAAAGTCCCAATTAACAGTTAGTAGTATTCACAGTGAACTTTGTTTACTGTAAACAGACAAAATGTTCACAACAGGTTAATATCAACTATTTGCCATGCTATATCCTGCTGTATCCCTATATATCAGCAAAATATATAAAAAGGCTGCATACAAAAAAGCAAAAACAAAAATATTTTGCAACAAAAAAACACAGAAATGTGAGATAAATACCATGTGAAAAAAATTTAACAGGTATATAGAAAGTTGTATATTAGTCAACAATCATCCTTACGCAGGTATTGGATCATTAATGACACCATTCTACATCAGACTATTCATATTGATGAAGGATATTTGTTATCCTATCAAAAATAATTTCAACTTCTAGAGTTTCAAAATTAAATTATATAGAATGCTTTGACAGATTTCACTTTATTACAACACAACACAGAAAACATAAATAACGTGACAGAAAAGAGACAAAGCAGAGAGGAGGACACAGGAAGTTTAAGGAAGGGAGACAAATCTGATTTTCAAAAAATAACCCTGAACATCATTAAATGTGAACTGCCATAAATTATATCCATTTCAATGGAAAATGTTTAGAATATCATCATAATATTTGTTGCTTCAGAAGTCTAAGAACAAATTGTTTCATTTTTGAGGATAAAACATATGGTTACATGGTCATTGTATGTTATTCATGGTTTATTCAATATTCTAATCTAACATACAACAAAGCCTAAAAGAGTTATATATTAAAACCAATCAACTCCTGTTCAAATTTATTCTGCAAAAATGTGAAAGTCTTCCAAGAAAATTGTGCGTCACCTGCCATCTCAATATAATATAAGCAGAAATATAATATAAGCAGAAATGGCTTAGTCAGTGTTTTGGATGGATACACCATATCCATGGATGGATATCCAATATCCTTTCTTTTCTATTTTATATTGGGAAACCACAAAAATTACTCATATAAAACATTCATATAGCAGGTGTACAACTTCGTGTCCTGTAAAAGAATCTTTGGAAGTCTGGATAAATTCTGTCTAAGCATTTAAGAAGATTTACAGATTAACAAACTGATACATTAAGTAGAAATAGCAAGGTTCGTGTTTTGGTATACTTGTATATATGGGAAATCCCCAAATTTACTCAGATATAAAGAAATAAAAGAAGAATGTATCTGAGGACATGAATGCCCCTGCTCAAGCTTGCTTATAATATGTGAAAATACTTTTGGGACAGGCAGGACAGGACAACGGATGGACAGAAGGACAAGGGTAACACTTAATGCCCCCTTTGCCATAATGGCAGAGGCATTAAAATAGAATGTGCATTATTTACTTCCTATACTGAGGCAGAATCTGTGCAAGAATTGGTTGAATTTTGTCTAGCTGTTTTCAAGAAGTTGTAGATTAAAGTAAAGTGTGAGGCAGACAATGACTAAACCTGAAAAACAGAAGTGGTCCCTGTCTCGCTAGTGTCAGTTGGAGGCTGTTAGATAACAGAACTATATAAAAAATTTCACAGTAAGGCAGCTTTTTGTCTACTGGAACAATCTTTTCATGTTTTCCCTTTATATCTTGTAAGATTAATCTTTGACTAGTAAATTATCTTTAGTTTTTTAAGCATTTAGGAACAAATCTTGGAATATAAGAAATATTTGAAATTAATGTAGGATTAATTAAGTAGAAAGAGACCAATTAGATAACAGTTGTCTTATTCGAAGATTCTCTAGCATTTTTTTGCTAAATGAGTTGCAAATTCAGTTTACTGGCTACCGTTCAGTAAAGACAGTAAATCATCAAATCAAAATTGATCCCTGTAAATCTTCAGATACAGTACCTGTTATCTGGATTCTTATACAATTGAGAGAAAACACTGCTAAATGATACATTTTTAACTCATTTACATGAAATCTGCACTTGCACTTAATTTCCAACCATCATTCAAGCACTTGATACCCTGAAATATGTGGTGTTGACCAATCACAATGTATGTACCAAGGCAGGAATATGACAGTTGTTTTCCATCCTTTTGATGTGTTTGAGCTTTTGATTTTGCCATTTGAAAAAGGATTTTCCGTTTTGAATTTTTCTTGGAGTTTGGTATTTTTGTTATTTTACTTTTTACAAACAGTGCTGTATAAGAATTTGTTTTTACTTCTAGGAAAACATATGACAAGCATTGCCTTTTTTTTTCTCTCAGCCTTAAACATAGTAAACATTCCTACTTATCTTTTTATTCAAAGTAGATATTGAACTTATTTTATATGGCATAGTAATGCTGGGAATTCTCTCTCACTCTCTCTATATCTTTCATACATCTGAATGGTTTATGATTTCTTTGAAACTGCAGAAGTTTTAAACAAACTATTTGTCCAGAACAAGCATGACACATTTGCTAACTGAAAGTTATACAGTAAATGTACACATGTTTTTCCTTGCTTTAAAATACTTCAAATATAGAACTTTTTATACAAACATTCATGAATATTTAATAGACATTCCTTATGTTAGCATATTATCTAACAAAGAGCTTTTGTTAAGATTGCATCGGCCAAACAAATTGTACAAAAAATAAATACAACAAATAATGATATAAGTACTTTCATTCTTCATTATTATACTAAGAACCTGTCCATAAACCAATAACAAAAGAAGCAGGAAACCATACCACTTATACCACACATACATAAAATAATAAAAAAATTCCCTTAACACAATCATGCCAGACAATTCAAAATTTACATACACTTAATCCCAATGTGTTGGCAATTATGTCTGGATTAACTTCCTGTAAGATTGATAACAATGGTGTAAAAATAAAGAGGTTGAAGGTCAAAGTGTTGGCAATTATGTCTCAATATACTTCCTGTAACATTGATAGCAATGGTGTAAAACTAAAAAGGGGAGTCTTATTTGGTCCCAGATTTTAAATTCAAGGTTGTTGTTTTTTTGTTTTTTTTAACTTTGTAGGTAAAAAATTAACTTTCAAGCAAATATAAAATGTAGGTCACCATGACTTAACTAGTTTTGTATTTTTAAGATAAAAGATTTAATCTCAAGTCATTTGCCTTCAAATCAAATGTTTGTGTACAGATTCTTTAAAAAATTTGTAAGGGGTCCCGCGGAACCCTGTGTCTCGCCTGCGATTGCTGCTGTCAGTGTAAAAGTGTAATGTTGACTTAAAAAGCAAGTCCATTTATCAGTAAAATACATTTTGTACAGAAAAATGAAAATAAATATTTCAAATTTCACTCTGGATACAGAATTTTGGTCATTCTCAAGCTTCTGTCCAAATTTCATAAAATTCCATGAAGGTTTGACCATGTTGACAAAGTTATTGATGACTGAAAAACTTTAACCTCAGACTGAAACTGAATGTTAACTGTATAAAAAACTAAGTCCATTTATCAGTAAAATACAGAAAAATGAAAATAAGTATTTTCAAAATTTCGCTCTGGATAGTGTCTTTAGGTCATAAACAAGCTTCTGTCCAAGTTTTATAAAATTCCATGAAGGTTTGACAAAGTTATTGATGACTGAAAAACTTTAACCTCAGACTGAATCTGAATTTTTTTATGTCAAAAAAATAACTCCATTTATCAGTAAAATGCGGAAAAATGAAAATAAATATTTTAAAAAATTTTGCTCTGGATACTTTAAGTTGGTAATAAACAAGCTCCTGTCCAAATTTCATAAAATTCCATGAAGGTTTAACAAAGTTCTTGATGTCCATAAAAACTTTAACAACTGACTGAAACTAAATGTTGACGATGCTGCCCGCATCTAGTATCACTATGTCTCACTTTCTTAACATAAATGTTGCAGGGTCGACAAAAAGTGTAAAATGTAGGTCACCATGAACTTGTTTTGTTCATAGACTTGTCTCATTTATAAAGTACAGATGAGTAAAGAGAAGAAATAGTCTTAATCATACAGCACTTATCATATATTTAACCAAAACAATCTAATTGAAAAATAAAATTTAAGCCACTAAATCTCTTGCTGGAACAACACTTGACCCACAAGAATTGTTAACGTATCATAGATATCATATATAGACAATATGAATAAGCTCACAATACAGTTGTAAATAGGGTCTCAACTTCATGGAAGAGTTAAATTGGAATTTGATTTAAAAAAGTCCATAAAGCAAATCATTATATAAGTATATTTCAAGAAGCAATATCTATCATTCATATTATACTTCTATTAAGTTACATCTTCTTCAATTCAGTGTTTCTACCATTGGAAAACAAGGTGTTTTATGCTACTCTACAATGCTTTGACTGTTAATAGATTAGTTCAAGCATAAACAAACTCTTATAATTACAAACTTGTTTTAGTTTATTTTTTCACAAAAATCAGACCATTTCATTATCATCAAATCATAGTAAAAAGCAGAAATGATCTAATTTTGAATTTAAAAATGGTCACACACACAGGAGCTGTATATGCATTAAATGAAGATCTCAATGGTCCTAAGTGCAATGAGCAATATAAGGAGTTCTTAATGTCTTGATGAAATAGAGAAACACTTAATAAAATATCAAATTGATTATTTGAACCAAAGTTTCTGATGCTTAAAGTATGGACAAGAGAAACTTGAGTAATTTTGAATAACTTGTAGAGGTTCCGCCTGTCCAGATTTAACAGATATAAGGATCAAATATTTAGCAACAAACTTCTTCCTTCATATTTTCAATCAACATGAAAAACATACTTAAAACCCAAAATTTGGTATAACCAATAGCACAGTTATCTGCACAACAAGGGGAAAGAATCAGACTAAAAGATCTTGGTAGTATGTCTTAAGGCGTGCAATTATCAATAGAGAAAACTACATATAATCAGACATAAAAGTTCCAAATCTAAAACACACACACAAAGAAAAGGAATAATTGAACATGTTGAATGTTAGTGTATTAAAATTGTTGTGTTCTCAACAAAAATTACTGCATACATTGTAAATTTGATTTCACTACAAAAGATGCCACGCTCCATACCGATTTAAATATACTGGATTTTTCTGCTTCATCATCCTGAAATCAGTTAAATTTTTTTGTGAAGGACTTCATTATTTTTTATTTTACTATTGCCTTTTATAGTTTTCTAGAGGTATATACAGAAAATACATCTGACATGATATTAGTCAAAAGTTCAAGAGTGAAATTGTTTTTGGACTGTTCAGAAATATTATAGATAGTAAATGATTAGTCATTCATATATAGATCTTTTTATTCTAACTAAAACTGTTAAAAGTCTGACCTATATTATTGAAGCAAAAAGTGAATATCGCCATTTTATAGCAGAATGTGAATAAGTTAGAATTCACTTGATGATCGGTTAAAATACAGCTTATTCAAATAATTTACTTGGTATGAAAACACTTTAAAAGCTTGTAAGTGAGAGAAAAGGTTAAAAGGGGTTCAGAATTTAAAAAAAAAAGCAAATTTTTTTGAAAAAATTCAGTAAAATTTCTTTGCATCAGTAGAATTATTACTTTAAACCCAAAAATATACCATCACAAACAAGGCATAACAAATTACAATTTTGATAATCACAATACTTAATTACCAAACAATTTTTTTTTAAACTTTCAGATACAAATTTAATAGTCCATATCCACCACAACTCCTTTTCTTATGTCATATTTTTCTTTTTCTTGTCAAATAATACAGAAAAGAGTAGCTATAATATTAACAAAGAGTTTAATTTCACAGGAAAGGGGAAAATCCCACTAATGATTCATGCAACATCTTTTTTCTAAGATTTATATACACAGTCAATTTTTTGATACTTTTATTTCAATTCACTTTATACATGTTATAAGTATTTCAACAACCCTCATTTTGCATATTATCAATATCCTGCGTTTCCTCATATGAATATCAAGTTCCAGTACTGAAAGGACCCCGTCTCTTTTCTCCCTTACCATGTGTCGAAAAATAATTTCATAGAAATATGTCCAACTTACTTTTCAATGAGATACTGGCAGATTCATATATTTTCATAGTTTGCTGATTTTCTTGAATTGAGAAATAATTGTAGTTTCATGGTTATTTGATTTTGTGGTTTTTACATATTCAATTTCATTGATCATTTATATTTGTTGCTCACATTTAACCAAAAAGTCAACAAAAATTATGATAATGAATCCACAATAGACCCCTTTCTAAGATATATATCTTAGGTCAAAGTTTAAAACTTTTTCATTCCTTATCCCATTAAACTTGTTAACCTAATATTTCCATATCCTAAATTTTACATAATACTCCCATAGTCATGTGTTTCATCATAGTAAAGCTTTTCTCAACATTTGCAAAGCTGGGAAAACTTTAAAGTCTCTGTCATCTTTAAAATAATGATTGCATGAGGACACAAGTTAAAAAATAGGTAGGAAAGGTAAAATATTTAACCAAAAAACTCTTCATCTCTGCTTCGTTTTGACAAAATAAAAATTGTAAAGCAAAAAATATCCGACCACCAAGACAAATAGTGCATTCAGAAAAGGAATTTTCAGCCCTTGCCTATTATTAGTGATTTTCTCACCTGGGCTATTGACTGAAATGTCCCGTAACTAGAACAATCATCTAAAATTCCACTCAAGTTTTTACCTTGGCCCTGTGTTGTAGCATGCAAAATTGTATACAAATAATTAGTTTTGCAATCAGTTTTTTTTTCTGCTGACAAAATAGCATAAAAAAAAATTTCATATATTTGTTGATTTTGTTGTAGTTTTGTTTTATTTGACCTTATGATAAATAATATTGATCTTAATAACTGCTTCAATAGAAACTCAAACATTATGAAAGTAAATATTTAATCAAACATGATATGTCCGGAACCCACCCAAAATTTTACCCTTACATTCCTCTCATTTTGTTTTCCCGCCCTTCCTTAGCTTCTTCAGGGCATCCTCCTTAGGAATGACATCACAAAGTAAAGCTGATTTTATAATAAATAAACATCATGGAGAAGACACACAAAAACAAAATAAAACATAGAAAGTTGAAGGTATAGGAACTAAACAAACAGGATATGATGTGCTTCAAGCATAAACATTTCAAAATTTGATAGAAATCCATATCTTTTCGAGTTTTCTTTGAAATCAAAAACTTAGTTTTCATCATTCTTAGATGCAAAAAAAGGCATCAGTAAACATAATATAGTGTCATTTTAATTGAGTATTTCAATTACTACTTTTAGCATTAAGAGAATGAAACTGGTTTTTAAAAAAAAACTTGCATGTAATATATTTGACCTTGCTCTTTTCATTTCAAAATTAACAAGTAAAGAAGATTTATGTGTGACTCTTACATCTAATTTCTAGGATCTATGTCATAAACAGTGCAACTAGTATGTTTGAAATTTAACAATTTACCTGTTACGCTAATTACAATTTAACAAAATCAAGCTCTGGATAAACAACACAGGTAACTTACATCTTGTACGATCGGTACTCCTAAGTTTTGCATGTTAGTTATAATACACTTCTCTTCCTGCGGAATCTGCGCATGCTGAACCAATTTGGATAAATTTTCATCTGAGATACCTGTAATCAAATGTTAAATTGGGAGTTTATATTTTTTAGAAACCAAATCTATAATAGCTACCATATATTGATTTCAAAATCAAGGGGAAAATAAATAGGTCACAAAATAATTCATATACATGTGTAGAGTATAAGTTCTTTAAAATATTGCTTCAACTCAGAATTAATTACATGTTTTGCACAACATTCTAACCAGCCTCCCAGATTTGCACCTGTCTTTTTTTAAAGTAAATCTGCTACACTTTGATAATTCAACAACAAAATTAAAATAAACAATAAAATAAAAAATAAACAACAAAATAAACAATAAATTATTTTTCACCAATTCTAAGACCCATTAAATGTCTTTTCATTTATCATTCAACATTTCATGATGAATTTCAGTGCTAGAAAACAAGAAGGTTCTCCATCAAAGGTTACCATGCTTTTTCAAAGAAATAGTTTTAATAGGATAATGACAATTACAGGTAATTTAAAGTATTTTTTTTTAGTAGTTTGTGAATGTACAAGAAGAAAACTGAATAAAGCATAATAATGTATGAAATGTCAACAGATGTTCTCTTCATTAGGTGTGTAACAATATTTTGAAGACTGCCAAATGGCAGAATTTTGCTTATTTGTCTCTGATGGAAAAATCTGTAAATTAAAACTAGAAATGAGAGTGATCTCACTAATGATAAGGCCTGCTTTAAATTACTACTAAATTTTTGAGTACGTGAATATGATTTTCTCCCCTTTGGCATCTTTGATCAGGACTATATTCCTGTATGTATGCACATCCTTATGTAGTGTTCTGCAATGGTCAAGTTGCATCAATATCTGTCCAGTTGCCCTTATAAGGCACATCGGCAGACAGTGATTCTTATTTAACTCCACCCACCTTTTTTGTAGGGGTAAAAAATTAAAGGGTGCCATAAGCTGAAGTAAGCGCCTTTATAATATACATTATTTTCTTATCCCAATTTTTTAGACAAATAAATATAAAAATATAGACAGGTTTCTCTAATTGGTTGGTGCTTTCATATAACAATCAGTACGGTGGTAAAAATAGTAAAATATGTTACACCCCTAATTCTGTTTATTATAATGTAATTTGTGGATTGTTAATTCCTAAGCTACAAAACTGTAATAGTCAGCCATATATAATGATTTGTGTTTATATTTGATTGGAGTTAGATGAAATTTGTCCATTCTGCAGGTTTTATGCAGCCAGTCCATTCCAAACATTTCAGGATCTTTAAATGATTGTGCCTGAAAATAGCTGTAATTGAGCTTAAGTAGGCCATGCAACTGACAGATCAAAAAGATCTACTGATTTCCTAATAAAAAAATTACTACAGTAATATCCCTAATTTTGCTCTTGAATTAAAACAATTTTGATCACCCATGATTTCCTCCCAAAATGACAGTTCTAAAATTAAAAAAAACAACTCACCCATAAACTATTTACAATTTAAAAAGTAATGGTATTTTTTTTCAAAAATGCCAATGAAGTATAATGCCTAAAATAATCTCCCTGTTTTACACCATGACAACTGAGCAGATGCTAAACATCCTCCTCATGCAAATATCATACAGCCAAAAAAATAACTAGAACAATTAACGAGATTTAATTCATTGCAAATAATAAGCATATATAAACTGGAAGAAATTTCCAGGTAAACTGCACTGCAAAAAGTACATGTTTAAAATATCTAGTTTAACAGGTGTGCAATTAACTGTTATACCTTCCTCTTTATCATCTGTAATTATATATAAATGTCATTCATTGGTTAAACAAGTCCAATAGCTTTTAGTTTTTTTTTTCTAAAGTTATTGTATTAAAGACTTATCAGGAAATTTACTGGTTCTTTTGGGGAAGACTTTGACCCAATCCTAAGTAAACTGATTGTTGTTACATGTATAATTTAATGAATATTCAACATACCAAATAAAATAATGATTTAAAATGAGGTAAAATTAGGTGGATTTCTGAAATTTCTACAATAATAGTAATTTTATATTTCAACGTTAAAATTAATTTACATATTAAAAAAAAATTCCCTGCCAATGCCATTTAAATACTAAAACTTTGCCTTTATAAATTATTTTCATTTTGCAAAGTTTTCAGAATCAATAATTTTTGAAATGACAAAATTACAAAAAATGACTCAAATCACTAAAATTTGCTGAAATCTTTAATAAGTTTAGAACTGAACAAATGAAAATAAATGTTGTTGCAAGGTTTTATTAAATCAATTTTTTTAAGCAATAAAACTGGCACTTTCCAGTAGTGTTGTATACTAAGCTAAATGATGCTAATAATCTGTTATGGTTTTCAAAAATTAAGATTGAAAATTTAGGTTTTAAGTTCAGGATAAGCATTCGAACTTCTTGCTTATATTCTATATGTTCTAATCTATAAAAGACATCTCTAACGATAGTATACAAAATACAACTTTTTATATTTAATTGTTTTTAAAAATACATGAAAACTATTACTATAACATAATATATTCAAATAGGATTATTCTCATCTATTTCTGATGATAGTTGATTAATATTTTTCGTGAGATTAATTCATTTAAATCAGAAACAAAACTTGCACTTGTACTTCTGCATATTATCTGAAAGCTTACCTCCTTTATGTATTATATATAATAATATTATTCTTATTTTATCGTATGCCGTTATATGTTGGTCTAATAATATAGGTACAATATTTCTCATATGGTCTTTTATTTTCTCTCCCTCAGCATCTGTTCCCATTGCTAAATCCTGGAAAATATAAGTATACATTTTAATAAATATCTTCATACAATTTTTTTTTTCATTCTTTCATTTTATTCTTTTATCTCATATCACGATCACTAGGAAAAACTTAATAATCAAACTTACTTTATTTTTTAACCTTTTCAGTGATGAGTTCCAGATTCATATTTTTTGAATCCAAGTGTACCTGGATTGCTATGTACTTTCAATATGGGATCATTTACTATCTGATACCCAGGTATAACTTTTCATAAAAAAGCTTAAATAACTGAAGCCAGAGTAGGATTTTGATTGGTCTTAACATTTTTTCGACAAATTTTGGGAATGAATACATTTTTATAAAGCAATTTGCCTTAGCTTTGCCATTTTCAATACTAAAAATATAGAAATATAATCATTCTACATGAAGATGAAAGACAACTCTATTGAACAACATATTAACACTGCTTTGTATTTGAGTCCATCATCTTGAACAAGCATGTAATATTTGCCACTGGACAAACATCAACCAATCAATCAATATTTCAATACAGCTATTAATAAGTCAATTTCAATGTTCTCTCTCAACATAAAAAGTTTCCAGAAATACAAATTACCTCTTCCAAATAAATTATTCCTATGTCAGGCCTTTTAAAGGACATGTAATAAATTATTCCTATGTCAGGCCTTTTATAGGACATGTAATACATTATTCCTTTGTCAGGCCTTTTATATGACATATAACTATGGTGTTTACACCTTATACATGACTGAAGATAGATGCAACATAATCTAATCATAGGTCATAAATTATATTCAAAGGAAGATAACTCTACTTTCAAAGGGAGATAACTCTACTTACCTGTTCTACTTTACACAATCTGTCAACATGTTTCTGGTAGATTTTCATGCAGTCTTCAGCTAGATGTAAATGTGTTGAGTATTTACTTAATTCTTTCTGATATTGAGGCATTTTCTTTAACATCTGAGATAGATCCCTAATATTGGCTTTTTCTCCATCTGTCATTTTTTTATCCTTAGCAAATTGTTTTAACTGTTTTGTTACTTGTCTGAAATACAGTAAGAGGTGTAAAAATGTTTAAGCTCATTGTGTCTAATAACAGCATTTTTTCTGATATATTTTTAAACCATAATCTAACAAGTGACAAGGAATCAAGTAAGACAAATCCAATACTATATTTTTCATTTATTGTTAAAAAAATTATTAACAACTGATGCTAGTATTTTTTTTATTTGTGAGCATCCTCTGAAATCATTTGATAGTCTAAAGACATTTTTTAATAAAAAGAAAAACTATCATCATTAATTAGCATATCAACTGACTAACATAAGTTGGCAAAACAAAAGAATAGCTTTTTCATTAAAGGCGAAAAAAAAATGTGTTTATAGAGTTTTTTGCTAAAGAAGCTTCTGGGCAAACAAAGACATAAGAACTATTCCTATTATTATGAATTTTGGTACAGCCTCAAGTCAACAATTATTATACAGCATGATTTTAAAAGAGTTTAAAATCAAATAATCACAATGATTACAATAGAAATACATATACCATATGTTACAATATAAATACATATACCATATGTTGTTCATTGTCTTTGTATGTATTTTTGGATGATTGTTCGAAGTTAAAATTAAATGTTTTAAGTTTTATAAAATATAAGAGCACATCTAAAAAGAAAAGGTCTGAGTCTTTTTAAAAAAAATTAATAATGCTCTACAGATCTTTGTTTTCTTTGTTTTCTTCACGTTTCCAATGGAGTCTTGAGAAAAACTTACTGTGATACTATGGCAATGTGTTGATGTCTAAGTTCTACCCATAATTCATCTGTCTCATCTAGCAGTGCCTCTTTTTCAACTACATCATTTCCAACATTATTTTCATATCTGTGAAAATCAGTGTTAGTCTAATCATTAGAAAGTGAAAGAAAATTTTTAGTCAGAAATATATCTTTCTTTGCGTAAGTGTATATCCATGCTTACAAAACAATATTATTTCCTCCTGAAGCTTTATGGACAAAATTCACAAATGTAATAATTTTGTTTAAAATATTGTTTTACAAAATTTTCTCCCATCAGTAGGAAGAAACATCCACTTAAACATGTAAACATATATGTGTAACAAACATAAGTTACAGAAAAGATTAAAAAATTTGTCTTTTGATTTTTTTTGTGTTATTGGTTTGTTGGCTCATACCTCGCATCTATTTTCAATCAGAGGTTAATAAACAACTATGATCACCTATGAAAATAATATCTTTATTCATCTGCACCTGCACTTACTTGTAAACATCATTTTCAATGGGCAGTAGATCATAAGCCATGGCTTGGAAATGTAGGTCGTGTAATAATGGTGTTATTGGATCAAATCCACGATCTAAAATTAACAACTGGGATCGATCTTTCTGTGGGCCCTAAAAATAAAACAAAGTCAATCAAGGGCTGATAAATGAAGTTAAAACATTTGTCAAATGAAGTCTTGTGTCATAATATTTATTACATTGGTAGATGAAAAAATATGTTTTGTACTTAAAACTTAAAAGTTTCCAACACTACAATGAGGGAAAGTTTTAAGAAAGCTGGACTTCTGTGTCATATGCTTTTTAAACAAGTATGTAATTTATCGTCACATTTTCATAATGTCAACTCATAAACTTTTATTATTTTTTTCACATTAGTTGATCAAAATAATACATTTGATTTATCAGTATTTCATATTTTATATTTCCTTGTCTACTTGCCCTGACAGACTTCATGATATTTACAGCACTATGTATGGAAGTTTTAAACGACCTTGACTGGCTATACAGTCAATTTACAGCACTGAATAATTTAAATAAATACAGTATATTACCTCTCCCATAGTATGGTCATCTGCTCTATAGGCATCTAATTTTTGTTGTACCATTTGAGCAAACTCAGCATTCTTGTCAAATTCACTGAAAAATTAAATTAACACTAATATCATTAAAATTTCTTAGCAGACTGAAGGTGTTTTTAGAGTAAGAAATTTAATCTGTCTCTTATTCATAATTCAAACTGCCACGGCTTATTCATTAATATCACTGTTTTAATTGTATTTGAGTTGCCAATGATGTTGGTGTTACTGTCAGATTTGGACTTCTCCACCTTGGGTGATATTTCACAATAAATGCTGAAGATTCTATGTGATTCTCTCTGAAATCTCTTTAAATTTTACGACTGGGTCGTAAATCAGAGTGTTATAACAAACTATCACCTTGTTTTACTGTGTTATCACCAGTAAGGGCATTTTTTATAACTCAAATCACTTTGCTTGTATTGTAGATTTGATTATTTGAGGATCTGTTGGAGGTGTATTCTTCATTTTTTAGGCAATTTTTCTCTATTTCTTTATATGTTTTGTGCATTATTCTCTATCCTTATATTTCAACACCCCATTATTTCTTTAATCTTTATTTTCCCATTATTCTCTATTCTGTAAACCCCATCCAGACCCTCAACTGAGTACAGTGTGAAGCTTTACCATATTTCCTACCTTCTGTATCTGACAGCAGGATATTCCCCTAATGTGGCACACAGTGTGGCTATTTGTTCAGCACATCTTTCCAAGTTGATGGTACGTCCGGCGGTACGTAATGGGTTATAATAAAACTGAAAAGTTTCTCTAGAATCTAAGGAGTAAGTCTGTGATTCTGACGGGAGGAATGCTATGTTTATTTCTTTTAATGTCTTGATAAACTTGGCTGATGAAGATTTGCATAACTCATTAAACAGCTCATCTGGACATGCTAAAAAAAAATAGAGAGTGTAAAAATTATTGGTACCACTTACTGTGGATTCAATCATTTTCATGGATTGAGGAAAAATTACATTTTCATGGATATCTAATTTTATGGTTTTGTTAAAATCTGCATGCCTTTCTATAGAAAATTTTAAATTCATTGAACATCTAAATTCATTGTTCCCTTGTATCCACAAAATCCTCGAAAATTACAATTGGTATCCAACAAATAATACTGAATCCACAGTATAACATTACAAGAATACTAACTTTGATTCTTTTCAAGCATTTGTTTTTACAACTATGTTAATGAAATGCATTTCTTCTGAATGAATCAATATCTAACAATTAACTGGTTTAGTTTATTTTTGTATACTTATAAAGACTTCCAGGAGAATTTTGAAATCATTAAAATCATTCATAAATAAAAGACAGTTGCATGAATTGAAACTGATTATTATTTTCTCTCATTCTTATTAAAAATAAATGGCTTAAACTAAACTGAAATATTTCTTCAACAACATTGTGAATAGAAGTAATTTCATACCAAGGACAAAACATATTTATCATAAAACTTTTTCTTCTAAATGGACCTTTTTATATCTATAAATACCTTCAGTGAAAAACACATGAGCACTTTTATACTGTGTGTTGTTGGGATTCTGGAAATCTACCATCAGAGCACGAACAGACTAAAACCAAAAACAAACTTTTATTCTATAATGTGAAAATTTATTTCAATATTTTTTGTTAAAGGGATTCTTTCATAAGCCTGGTATCTTTGTTTAATTTTACAGACTATTTTGTCCATAACTTAATCTTTTAAAAATATTAAAATTGCTTCATTCAAAGAATGTGAATTTTCAAAAGGGCAAGAATAAACAAGAAAATATGTTATTTAACATGGTTAATATTAATAAGCTTGAGTAGATAAAGACGGAATAGTTCGTTATATTATTAGAGTAAGATAATAAACTGTTTCAAGATGTAAGTATGTTAGAGTTAGCTTTTCTATTGGAGTCAGAAGATAAACTGCTTCAAGATGTAAGTATGTTAGAGTTACGTACCTTTTCTATTGGAGTCAGAAGATAAACTGTTTCAAGATGTAAGTATGTTAGAGTTACCTTTTCTATTGGAGTCAGAAGATAAACTGTTTCAAGATGTAAGTATGTTAGAGTTACCTTTTCTATTGGAGTCAGAAGATAAACTGTTTCAAGATGTAAGTATGTTAGAGTTACCTTTTCTATTGGAGTCAGAAGATAAACTGCTTCAAGATGTAAGTATGTTAGAGTTAACTTTTCTATTGGAGTCCGAAGATAAACTGTTTCAAGATGTAAGTATGTTAGAGTTACCTTTTCTATTGGAGTCAGAAGATAAACTGCTTCAAGATGTAAGTATGTTAGAGTTACCTTTTCTATTGGAGTCAGAAGATAAACTGTTTCAAGATGTAAGTATGTTAGAGTTACCTTTTCTATTGGAGTCAGAAGATAAACTGCTTCAAGATGTAAGTATGTTAGAGTTATGTACCTTTTCTATTGGAGTCAGAAGATAAACTGTTTCAAGATGTAAGTATGTTTGAGTTACCTTTTCTATTGGAGTCAGAAGATAAACTGTTTCAAGATGTAAGTATGTTAGAGTTACCTTTTCTATTGGAGTCAGAAGATAAACTGCTTCAAGATGTAAGTATGTTAGAGTTACCTTTTCTATTGGAGTCAGAAGATAAACTGCTTCAAGATGTAAGTATGTTAGAGTTACCTTTTCTATTGGAGTCAGAAGATAAACTGTTTCAAGATGTAAGTATGTAAGAGTTACCTTTTCTATTGGAGTCAGAAGATAAACTGTTTCAAGATGTAAGTATGTAAGAGTTACCTTTTCTATTGGAGTCCGAAGATAAACTGTTTCAAGATGTAAGTATGTTAGAGTTAACTTTTCTATTGGAGTCAGAAGATAAACTGCTTCAAGATGTAAATATGTTAGAGTTAACTTTTCTATTGGAGTCAGAAGATAAACTGTTTCAAGATGTAAGTATGTTAGAGTTACCTTTTCTATTGGAGTCAGAAGATAAACTGTTTCAAGATGTAAGTATGTTAGAGTTATGTACCTTTTCTATTGGAGTCAGAAGATAAACTGTTTCAAGATGTAAGTATGTCAGAGTTAACTTTTCTATTGGAGTCAGAAGATAAACTGTTTCAAGATGTAAGTATGTTAGAGTTACCTTTTCTATTGGAGTCAGAAGATAAACTGTTTCAAGATGTAAGTATGTTAGAGTTATGTACCTTTTCTATTGGAGTCAGAAGATGAACTGTTTCAAGATGTAAGTATGTTAGAGTTACCTTTTCTATTGGAGTCAGAAGATAAACTGTTTCAAGATGTAAGTATGTTAGAGTTATGTACCTTTTCTATTGGAGTCAGAAGATAAACTGTTTCAAGATGTAAGTATGTTAGAGTTATCTTTTCTATTGGAGTCAGAAGATAAACTGTTTCAAGATGTAAGTATGTTAGAGTTATGTACCTTTTCTATTGGAGTCAAGAGATAAACTGTTTCAAGATGTAAGTATGTTAGAGTTACCTTTTCTATTGGAGTCAGAAGATAAACTGTTTCAAGATGTAAGTATGTTAGAGTTACCTTTTCTATTGGAGTCAGAAGATAAACTGTTTCAAGATGTAAGTATGTTTGAGTTACCTTTTCTATTGGAGTCAGAAGATAAACTGTTTCAAGATGTAAGTATGTTAGAGTTACCTTTTCTATTGGAGTCAGAAGATAAACTGCTTCAAGATGTAAGTATGTTAGAGTTACCTTTTCTATTGGAGTCCGAAGATAAACTGTTTCAAGATGTAAGTATGTAAGAGTTACCTTTTCTATTGGAGTCCGAAGATAAACTGTTTCAAGATGTAAGTATGTTAGAGTTACCTTTTCTATTGGAGTCCGAAGATAAACTGTTTCAAGATGTAAGTATGTTAGAGTTAACTTTTCTATTGGAGTCAGAAGATAAACTGCTTCAAGATGTAAATATGTTAGAGTTAACTTTTCTATTGGAGTCAGAAGATAAACTGTTTCAAGATGTAAGTATGTTAGAGTTACCTTTTCTATTGGAGTCAGAAGATAAACTGTTTCAAGATGTAAGTATGTTAGAGTTACCTTTTCTACTGGAGTCAGAAGATAAACTGTTTCAAGATGTAAGTATGTTAGAGTTACCTTTTCTATTGGAGTCAGAAGATAAACTGTTTCAAGATGTAAGTATGTTAGAGTTACCTTTTCTATTGGAGTCAGAAGATAAACTGCTTCAAGATGTAAGTATGTTAGAGTTACCTTTTCTATTGGAGTCAGAAGATAAACTGTTTCAAGATGTAAGTATGTTAGAGTTACCTTTTCTATTGGAGTCAGAAGATAAACTGTTTCAAGATGTAAGTATGTTAGAGTTACCTTTTCTATTGGAGTCAGAAGATAAACTGCTTCAAGATGTAAGTATGTTAGAGTTACCTTTTCTATTGGAGTCAGAAGATAAACTGTTTCAAGATGTAAGTATGTTACAGTTACCTTTTCTATTGGAGTCAGAAGATAAACTGCTTCAAGATGTAAGTATGTTAGAGTTATGTACCTTTTCTATTGGAGTCAGAAGATAAACTGTTTCAAGATGTAAGTATGTCAGAGTTACCTTTTCTATTGGAGTCAGAAGATAAACTGTTTCAAGATGTAAGTATGTCAGAGTTACCTTTTCTATTGGAGTCAGAAGATAAACTGTTTCAAGATGTAAGTATGTCAGAGTTACCTTTTCTATTGGAGTCAGAAGATAAACTGTTTCAAGATGTAAGTATGGTAGAGTTACCTTTTCTATTGGAGTCAGAAGATAAACTGTTTCAAGATGTAAGTATGTTAGAGTTACCTTTTCTATTGGAGTCAGAAGATAAACTGTTTCAAGATGTAAGTATGTTAGAGTTACCTTTTCTATTGGAGTCAGAAGATAAACTGTTTCAAGATGTAAGTATGTTAGAGTTACCTTTTCTATTGGAGTCAGAAGATAAACTGTTTCAAGATGTAAGTATGTTAGAGTTACCTTTTCTATTGGAGTCAGAAGATAAACTGTTTCAAGATGTAAGTATGTCAGAGTTACCTTTTCTATTGGAGTCAGAAGATAAACTGTTTCAAGATGTAAGTATGGTAGAGTTACCTTTTCTATTGGAGTCAGAAGATAAACTGCTTCAAGATGTAAGTATGTTAGAGTTACCTTTTCTATTGGAGTCAGAAGATAAACTGCTTCAAGATGTAAGTATGTCAGAGTTACCTTTTCTATTGGAGTCAGAAGATAAACTGTTTCAAGATGTAAGTATGTCAGAGTTACCTTTTCTACTGGAGTCAGAAGATAAACTGCTTCAAGATGTAAGTATGTTAGAGTTACCTTTTCTATTGGGGTCAGAAGATAAACTGCTTCAAGATGTAAGTATGTCAGAGTTACCTTTTCTACTGGAGTCAGAAGATAAACTGCTTCAAGATGTAAGTATGTTAGAGTTACCTTTTCTATTGGAGTCAGAAGATAAACTGTTTCAAGATGTAAGTATGTTACAGTTACCTTTTCTATAGGAGTCAGAAGATAAACTGTTTCAAGATGTAAGTATGTTAGAGTTACCTTTTCTATTGGAGTCAGAAGATAAACTGTTTCAAGATGTAAGTATGTTACAGTTACCTTTTCTATAGGAGTCAGAAGATAAACTGCTTCAAGATGTAAGTATGTTACAGTTACCTTTTCTATAGGAGTCAGAAGATAAACTGTTTCAAGATGTAAGTATGTTAGAGTTACCTTTTCTATTGGAGTCAGAAGATAAACTGTTTCAAGATGTAAGTATGTTAGAGTTACCTTTTCTATTGGAGTCAGAAGATAAACTGTTTCAAGATGTAAGTATGTTAGAGTTACCTTTTCTATTGGAGTCAGAAGATAAACTGTTTCAAGATGTAAGTATGTTAGAGTTACCTTTTCTATTAGAGTCAGAAGATAAACTGTTTCAAGATGTAAGTATGTTAGAGTTACCTTTTCTATTGGAGTCAGAAGATAAACTGTTTCAAGATGTAAGTATGTTAGAGTTACCCTTTCTATTGGAGTCAGAAGATAAACTGCTTCAAGATGTAAGTATGTTACAGTTACCTTTTCTATTGGAGTCAGAAGATAAACTGCTTCAAGATGTAAGTATGTTAGAGTTACCCTTTCTATTGGAGTCAGAAGATAAACTGCTTCAAGATGTAAGTATGTTAGAGTTACCTTTTCTATAGGAGTCAGAAGATAAACTGCTTCAAGATGTAAGTATGTCAGAGTTACCTTTTCTATTGGAGTCAGAAGATAAACTGTTTCAAGATGTAAGTATGTTAAAGTTACCTTTTCTATTGGAGTCAGAAGATAAACTGTTTCAAGATGTAAGTATGTTACAGTTACCTTTTCTATTGGAGTCAGAAGATAAACTGTTTCAAGATGTAAGTATGTTACAGTTACCTTTTCTATTGGAGTCAGAAGATAAACTGTTTCAAGATGTAAGTATGTTACAGTTACCTTTTCTATTGGAGTCAGAAGATAAACTGTTTCAAGATGTAAGTATGTTACAGTTACCTTTTCTATTGGAGTCAGAAGATAAACTGTTTCAAGATGTAAGTATGTTACAGTTACCTTTTCTATTGGAGTCAGAAGATAAACTGTTTCAAGATGTAAGTATGTTAGAGTTACCTTTCTATTGGAGTCAGAAGATAAACTGCTTCAAGATGTAAGTATGGTAGAGTTACCTTTTCTATTGGAGTCAGAAGATAAACTGCTTCAAGATGTAAGTATGGTAGAGTTACCTTTTCTATTGAGTCAGAAGATAAACTGCTTCAAGATGTAAGTATTACAGTTACCTTTTCTATTGGAGTCAGAAGATAAACTGTTTCAAGATGTAAGTATGTTAGAGTTACCTTTCTATTGGAGTCAGAAGATAAACTGCTTCAAGATGTAAGTATGGTAGAGTTACCTTTTCTATTGGAGTCAGAAGATAAACTGCTTCAAGATGTAAGTATGTTAGAGTTACCTTTTCTATTGGAGTCAGAAGATAAACTGTTTCAAGATGTAAGTATGGTAGAGTTACCTTTTCTATTGAGTCAGAAGATAAACTGTTTCAAGATGTAAGTATGTTAGAGTTACCTTTTCTATTGGAGTCAGAAGATAAACTGTTTCAAGATGTAAGTATGTTAGAGTTACCTTTTCTATTGGAGTCAGAAGATAAACTGTTTCAAGATGTAAGTATGTTAGAGTTACCTTTTCTATTGGAGTCAGAAGATAAACTGTTTCAAGATGTAAGTATGTTAGAGTTACCTTTTCTATTGGAGTCAGAAGATAAACTGTTTCAAGATGTAAGTATGTCACAGTTACCTTTTCTATTGGAGTCAGAAGATAAACTGCTTCAAGATGTAAGTATGTTAGAGTTACCTTTTCTATTGGAGTCAGAAGATAAACTGCTTCAAGATGTAAGTATGTTAGAGTTACCTTTTCTATTGGAGTCAGAAGATAAACTGTTTCAAGATGTAAGTATGTTAGAGTTACCTTTTCTATTGGAGTCAGAAGATAAACTGTTTCAAGATGTAAGTATGTTAGAGTTACCTTTTCTATAGGAGTCAGAAGATAAACTGTTTCAAGATGTAAGTATGTTAGAGTTACCTTTTCTATAGGAGTCAGAAGATAAACTGTTTCAAGATGTAAGTATGTTAGAGTTACCTTTTCTATAGGAGTCAGAAGATAAACTGCTTCAAGATGTAAGTATGGTAGAGTTACCTTTTCTATTGGAGTCAGAAGATAAACTGTTTCAAGATGTAAGTATGTTAGAGTTACCTTTTCTATTGGAGTCAGAAGATAAACTGCTTCAAGATGTAAGTATGTTACAGTTACCTTTTCTATTGGAGTCAGAAGATAAACTGTTTCAAGATGTAAGTATGGTAGAGTTACCTTTTCTATTGGAGTCAGAAGATAAACTGTTTCAAGATGTATGTTAGAGTTACCCTTTCTATTGGAGTCAGAAGATAAACTGTTTCAAGATGTAAGTATGTTAGAGTTACCTTTTCTATAGGAGTCAGAAGATAAACTGTTTCAAGATGTAAGTATGTTAGAGTTACCTTTTCTATTGGAATCAGAAGATAAACTGCTTCAAGATGTAAGTATGTTAGAGTTACCTTTTCTATTGGAGTCAGAAGATAAACTGTTTCAAGATGTAAGTATGTTACAGTTACCTTTTCTATTGGAGTCAGAAGATAAACTGTTTCAAGATGTAAGTATGTTAGAGTTACCTTTTCTATTGGAGTCAGAAGATAAACTGTTTCAAGATGTAAGTATGTTAGAGTTACCCTTTCTATTGGAGTCAGAAGATAAACTGTTTCAAGATGTAAGTATGTCAGAGTTACCTTTTCTATTGGAGTCAGAAGATAAACTGTTTCAAGATGTAAGTATGTCAGAGTTACCTTTTCTATTGGAGTCAGAAGATAAACTGTTTCAAGATGTAAGTATGTTAGAGTTACCTTTTCTATTGGAGTCAGAAGATAAACTGCTTCAAGAAGAGGAAGTGGTTCTCTCCGTTTATTAATGTCTTCTACCACTGAAATATAAATATTATACGTAATTTCAAAAATATCACATATGGCAAAAAATTCTGATCTAATTTCACAACAAAAGAGATGATTTCAATTTTCCCATTGTGAACTTTCCATTTCTCTGTTGCAACATTCAAGCTAGGCCTGCATATGAAATTTACAACTTCCAGCAGGTAAGACTTTCCAGGGCTTGCAATTCCTACCATGATTACTTAAATAAATCACTGCTGTTTACAAGGCAGACACTGAACCAAGGGTTTCAAATGGTAAAGTTGAAGACATCCCCTCGATTTTATTACAGATGTCATCACGATTTGCTTGACTGTTTGATAGATAACCACGAATATAAAATTGAGAATAGAAACAGGGAATGTGTCAAGGTTTTGTTATGGTTTGCACTCCTGAATCTTAAGTACTCAATGTAGTGTTTTGTAAACTTGTTTGTCTTTTTTTCGGGGAGCCATGGTATGGTATTTGATTGCCCTTTAAGTATCTTCTCCAACTTTTTTTTCTTTGGGTAATTTTGAAATTCAGATGTACATCTTTTTAATATTCAATGAAGCTCAAAATATTAAATGCTGATAGCAGCGCCTGCATACGGAGTATATATCTCCCAATTGATACAATATTCCCGGGCTTGAATTTCCTATCATGATTTCCTTGATAGAGGATTGCTGCTCACAAGGAAGCTATTAAACCAAGAGTTCCAAATGGTGAAGTTGAAATCATCCCTTCGTAAATTTTACGGACGCCATCACGAGTTGGTTGACCATTATGGAATAACCGTTTTACAGATGATATCAGATATGTTCCTTAAGTCGTAATTACAATACCCTTCCCTTTTCACGAATGTGACCTACCGAATTAGACTATTTACCGGATTTGTAATAACAGAGGCAACACGATGGGTGCCACATGTGGAGCAGGATCTGCTTACCCTTCCGGAGCACCTGAGATCACCCCCAGTGTTTGGTGGGGTTCGTGTTGCTTAGTCTTTAGTTTTCTATGTTGTGTCATCTGTACTATTATTTGTCTGTTTGTCTTTTTATTTTTGGCCATGCCGTTGTCAGTTTGTTTTCGATCTATGAGTTTGACTGTCCCTCTGGTATCTTTCATCCCTCTTTTAAATGTTAAGCTTTGAGAGTAAATTATTATAAATTCAAGCACTTCAAACAGAGCAACTGTAATTATATATAAATTTGCTGATTTTTCACTTTAATTTTTCTACCTGAAAATAAATTTGGCTTACACCTATGGTCAATTCAGAGATTTCAATGGATGAATTTAGTGTTTAGTGTCATCGCTTTCTCCAACTGATGCTTTAATTTTAAACCAAAGTAAAATCAATTCGTCTGGTCAATCATGTTAAGTAATTAATGAAACATAAGATTATCAAGTTGTTAGAAACCCTGATGATATGCATTATCTGCTTACCAAATCTTTATTACCAAATTGTTGCAATAACCATGATGAAAATCAAAATTTATCAAACAATAAGAAGATTGTTTCAAACCTCCTTGACAGAGTTCTCAAAATTTGTATTCCCCTGGTGGTTCTTGAAGAAAATCTACTGGTTCTCACTAATTTTTTCTATTGGAAACAGGCCTCTACAATAACTTTTTTTTCAACTTGTCCAGTAGGACAAGTACATACCAAAACTTACTTGTCCGAATGAAATTGTAACTTGTCCAAAAAAATCTTAATAATAACCTTTTTTGCATTTTAAGTTGATTCAAGGAACAAAAAGAATTAAAACAATAGAACAGAATTTGATTTATATCTTTTGAAATACTATTCAAAAATATGAGTCGAATACAATTAACTGAATCTAGTCATGTCACAGAACTTAGGTTCTACATGTAGTTCATCAATGCCAAAGTCTCATCAGATTCTGCACATGAGGCACCATCTGATAGGGCTGTTAATGTACACTCATTGGATTTGTATCCTGGTTTTTTAAAGTTGAAAAAAGTTTATTCAAATGCAATAAATAAAAAAAAGATGAGGTATGATTGCCAATGAGACAACTCTCTGCAAAGACCAAATGACACAGAAATTAACAACTATAGGTCACCGTATTGCAAGTATTGTTTTTTTTTTCTACATATGATCAAATATGATTTTGTGAATTTAATGGTAAATAATTTTTCATTTTTATCTAAAAAATATTTTTTTTTTGTTAAAAAAATTACCGGTATGTTATTTATTATAAAGCAACAGAATAAGGTAGGAAAACGAGGTACTGATTTGTCTTGGTCCCGAAATGTCTCCTGCGTTGCCAAACTGTCTATTAATCATGTCTATTAAATATGTCTCCTATGGTGCCAAACTGTCTATTAAACATGTTAAACTTGGAGCCGAATCGTTTCTGAGCTTGTGACGAACTGTCTTGTAAAGTTACCTTATCTACAAAGCGCATCGCTGATTCGGATCAGTAAGACTGGTTTCCGAGAATAGTATGCATTTTACCTGTTAATAAAATGCTTCGCTGGGGCGCAGCTTGATACGACCGCAGAGGTCGAACCCTGAACAGTTGGGGCAAGTATGGACACAACATTCAAGCTTGATACAGCTCTGAATTTGGATTGTTATTAAATATTTGACACAGCATAGGTTTCTGACACAGAAAGAATGTGGTCTAAGAACTTGAATTTTTTTAATTTACCTATTATGGTCCAATGTCCAAAATCAAAATACATGGTTAGATTCAGCATATAAAAGAACCCCATATATTCAATTTTTGTTAAAATCAAACAAAGTTTAATTTTGGACCCCAACTTGGACAAACTTGAAAACTGGGCCCATAATCAAAAATCTAAACACATGTTTAGATTCAGCATATCAAAGAACCCCAAGAATTCAATTTTTGCTAAAATTAAACTAAGTTTAATTTTGGACCCTTTGGACCTTAATGTAGACAAATTTAAAAAACGGGACTTAAAATTAAAAATCTAAATACACGGTTAGATTTGGAATATCAAAGAACCCCAATAATTCAATTTTTGATGAAATCAAACAAAGTTTAATTTTGGACCCTTTTGACCTCAATATGAACCAATTTGATAGCGGGGCCCACAAATAAAAAATCTAAATTCATGGTTAGATTCAGCATATCAAAGAACCCCATATATTCAATTTTTGTTGAAATCAAAAAAAGTTTAATTTTGGACCCCAACTTGGACCAACTTGAAAACTGGGCCCATAATCAAAAATCTAAACACATGTTTAGATTCAGCAAATCAAAGAACCCCAAGAATTCAATTTTTGTTAAAATCAAACTAAGTTCAATTTTGGACCCTTTGGACCTCAATGAAGACCAATTTAAAAAACAGGACCCAAATTAAACATCTAAAAACACAGTTAGATTTGGCATATCAAAGAACCCCAATAATTCAATTTTTGATGAAATCAAACAAAGTTTAATTTTGGACCCTTTTGACCTCAATATGAACCAATTTGATAGCGGGGCCTACAAATAAAAAATCTAAATACATGGTTAGATTCAGCATATCAAAGAACCTCATATATTCAATTTTTGTTGAAATCAAACAAAGTTTAATTTTGGACCCCAATTTGGACCAACTTGAAAACTGGGCCTATAATCAAAAATCTAAATACATGTTTAGATTCAGCATATCAAAGAACCCCATATATTCAATTTTTGTTGAAATCAAACAAAGTTTAAATACTGGACCCTATCTTGGACCAACTTGAAAACTGGGCCCATAATCAAAAATCTAAACACATGTTTAGATTCAGCAAATCAAAGAACCCCAAGAATTCAATTTTTGTTAAAATCAAACTAAGTTTAATTTTGGACCCTTTGGACCTTAATGTAGACCAATTTAAAAAACAGGACGAAAATTAAAAATCTAAATACACGGTTAGATTTGGAATATCAAAGAGCCCCAATAATTCAATTTTAGATGAAATCAAACAAAGTTTAATTTTGGACCCTTTTGACCTCAATATGAACCAATTTGATAACGGGGTCCATTAATAAAAAATCTAAATACATGGTTAGATTCAGCATATCAAAGAACCCCATATATTCAATTTTTGTTGAAATCAAACAAAGTTTAATTTTGGACCCCAATTTGGACCAACTTGAAAAATGGGCCAAAAATCAAAAACCTAAATACATGTTTAGATTCAGCATATCTAAGAACCTCATATATTCAATTTTTGCTAAAATCAAACAAAGTTTAATTTTGGACCCTTTGGACCTTAATGTAGACTATTTTGAAAACTGGACCCAAAATTAAAAATCTAAATACACTGTTAGATTCGGCATAACAAATAAATAAATGTGATCAAAGATTTTACAAATCTAATGCGCCATACTGTGCAATTAAAGATTACTTCTTGAAATTTTTCAATATTTGAAATTTGAAAAAAAAATAATATTTGAAGAATAATTCTTTTTAATTTCTGAAATCTGAAATGAGAAAAAATTGACACCCCACAATTTCTTTTTATCCCCCCCCCCCCTTTTTTCCCCCAAAAAATTCTTTCCCTCAAGATATGGTCATAATCTCAATTCAAATTTCCAATGGAGTTGGCAACCATATTTACCCATTTAAATTTACCATAGTGCTAACTTAATCTATTTTATAATAGAATTAAAAATATAGTGTCAAATCTTTCATATGGATTTTTTTGTAAAAAAAAATGATGCAACATTTGCAGATATTTTTACTAGTCTTCCTTTATAAATATGCATTTCTTTAAACATAACTTAAAAGCAGTGTAAGGGAAGTAACCAAAACGTTGTATTTGGATTACCTCCCTTACACTGTTTTAAATTATCTTTATTGTTCATTAACCATTACTTTATGCATAATTTAAAAGCAGTGTAAGGGAGATAATTTCAATGATGAATTTGATTTATCTCCCTTACACTGCTTTAAATTATGTTTTGTACTAAAGTATTTGTCCATTAACCAGGACAACCTTGTTTTTCCCCCTTTTTTGCCCCTAATTCCTAAACGGTTTGAGCCATAACCCCCCAAAGCAAATCCTAACCATCCCTTTGTGGTATGGAAACTTGTAGTATAATTTCAGAGAGATCCATACACCGTTCCACAGTTATTGTCTGGAAACTAGAAAATGCTTATTTTTGGCCCCTTTTTGGCCCTTAATTCCTTAACTGTTGGTACCATAACCCCCAAAATCAATCCCAACCTTCCTTTTGTGGTATTTAACCTTATGGTAAAATTTCAAAAAGATACATTCACTTAAACTAAAGTTAGAGTGCGAAAACCAATGTGTATTCGGACGACGACGCTGGACGACGACGACGCCGGACGACGACGACGACGACGACGCCAACGTCATACCAATATACGACCACAAAATTTTTTTGCGGTCGTATAAAAAGTACCTGACAAAGAACCAGTTTTAAATTATCGATTGCAAGTAAACATGTCTTGTTTTCATCAAAGTTGGATTAAATTTATTTTATGCAGAATAATTTTACTTGTCCCGTCGGACAAGCTTGATATAGTTTTTACTTGTCCGACCCTTTTTCCCTCTGGTACCGGACAATCGGACAAGCGTTATTGTCGAGCCCTGTGGAAAATACGAAAATTGTGTCAGTCCTTTGCAAAATTTTGGTGGTCAAAACCTTTACACCATCACTTTTTGTTTTGAACTAGTACTCTGCCTTAAGCTTAACAACTTAGGATAAAATAACAGAGCATTAGTACTGATATGTACTAACAGTATACGACTACAACCATACATATCAATAATTTACTGTATATTGTAAATACATTCAATGCCTCTAGCTAGATTCTTTGTTGTTTTTATAGTTTACAAAATATTTTATATCAAGCTTCACATATGGTGAAGACTCTTCTCTTAAGAGTGTAAGATTGTAGAAGACTGTACGTGTTGACCTTTAGATGTACCTCATAAACATATTTAATTTTATTCATATATGTACCATTAAAACATTTAAACCCGCTGCAATTGTTTGCACCTGTCCTACATGTAAGAATAGAAAATACATTGTATGAATGTAAACTTACATGTGATTCCCTCAGACATAATCTCACACATTCTACAACAGTAAACTTACATGTGATTCCCTCAGACATAATCTCACATCTTCTACAGTATCAATAGAAAATACATTGTATGAATGTAAACTTACATGTGATTCCCTCAGACATAATCTCACACATTCTACAACAGCTAGAGATCATCCGTTTACTAAGCTGGTCCACCACCAAAACCTTCCACTCATTTGGTTTCTTAACTGCCAGAATAACATCATTTGTGATCTCTAAAGAAAAAAAATCAAAATTTACAAAATGTATGTCATAATTACTGAGCAATGTATTTAATCCAATAAAAGAACAGAGTTCCAATGTCCCCCTCATTGCACATATATTTTTCTATCCAAGGTACAAGGACAATAACTAAAAATAGCACTTTTTTTTGTTCTTTAAAACTTTTTTATTAATATCTTAAGAAAAATGAAGGCTTCAGAGCAAATGCAATGTGATTTCCATTATAATTTATATTTCCAAGGGGCAAAACTCGTTAAAAATATTTGATCAGAACTTATTTTCGAAAGTGTCAAAGACATTGCTGGTATAAACCTATGATAAAAGTTTCATAAAATTCTGGCAAGAATTGAACACATGAGAGTGATATCATTGCAATTTTCCATATAATCAATATTTTCAAGGGGCATAACTCTTTTAAAAATAATTGATCAGCAATTATTTTTGAACTCTTCCAGTACATTGCTGATATAAACCTATAATATAAATTTCATAAAAAATCTGGTTAGAATTGTACACATGAGGGTGCTAACAATGCAATTTTCCATATCATTAATACTTCCAAGGGGCATAACTCTTTTAAAAATAATTGATCGGCACTGATTTTCGAACTCATCAAAAACATTGATGATATAAACCTACAATATAAATTTCATAAAAATCTTACAAGAATTGTACTCATTAGAGTGCTCATAAGGCAATTTTCCATATAATTAGTATTTCCAAGGGGCATAACTATTTTGATAAATTGCTTCGCCTAGCGCAGCTGGATATGACCGCAGAGGTCTAACCCTGAACAGTTGGGGCAAAAATGGACACAATATTCGCGCTTGATACCGGTCTGAATTTGGATTGTTATTAAATATTTGACACAGAATAACTGTAGTCAAAGAACTTAGAATTGGTTATATAATTTGAATTTATATTCAATTTTTAGCTTTTGTGCAATACACTTTGCTGTTGCGAATTGACCCCCCCTCCCCCCACAAAAAAAAATAAATGGGAAATGTGTCCATGGGACACAGATGATGCCACCGCTTGCATATAACATTATAAAGGGACATAACTCAAGAACTGTAAAAGTGACGCTACCCAAATTTGTACTTGATCTGAGTTTTGTGGTAGTAAGCATTGTTCATAAGTTTCATAACATTTATTTGAGGCAAACTTAAATTAGAGAACGGAAACGAAAAATTCAGCAATTTTTCCATTTGTAAAGGGCATAACTCTAGAACGGTAAAAGTGACGACACCAAAATTCCAACTTGATCTGTGTTTTGTGGTAATAAGCATTGTGTATGTTTCATAACATTTAGTTGAGGCAAACTAAAGTTAGAGAACGGAAACCAATTTTGGGACGTACAGACGGACAAGGGTAAAACTGAATGACCCCACGATTTTGGGCGAACGGACGCAGGTTCCACAACCACTTGCACTTAAGTTAAGGTGAGCTAGTTATCAAAAGGCTGCAGGGGTGGTTTCTATCAAATCAAATAAAGAATATATAACAAGAACTAAAATGACATTTATTACATATGGCCAAAATGACTAAATCCGAGCTTGTTCAATGCATATGGCTGAAATGTCTTGTTTCCCATTAAAATTATTAATGTGTATTATTTGGTGATGATTAATCGTCATACATGTTAAATGTATGTATACGTGTACATGTATATCGTATCTTTTAGAGGAGCAACAACATGTAAAAGGTTGTAAAGAGGGATCATTTAACACATTTGATCTACAAATATTAATGAGAGCAATGTTGCCTACCCATCCTGGCTGTCTTACTTCACACAATTGTCACAAAATCTTGCATAAAATTTGGCAGACCCTGTAAACCTGACATTTCATAATCGGTAAACATGCAACCACACTGTTAAGCTGCATGAAGTTAAAATGTAAAAGTTGATACACGCAGTTTAACTATGACAATAAACTTAGAAATCTCTAAAAGATTTTCTTAGGGGTGTGATCCAAGTCGAGACGGAAAAATTATCGATCATAACTTTCAAAATAATGTGAGTGTTCTTCGACAACAATGTTTTCTTTCTATAATTGTATATTAAAAAAAACTGAAAAGCGCCTTGATATAAATTTGACAGAATTCTTTCGTCATATACATAATGCAGATGTAAACATTATATAGGAAATAAAATCTGTTTACTTTCGTGCACTGCTATTTTCAGCGCCATCTTGAATTTCTAATGTCCCGCACTGAATAATTAACCTATAAAAATAACGAAATTGTTGATATATTCGTGTAAAAAAATATCTCTTGTGAATAAATTCCACAAGTTCATACGTATGATATCAAACAAATGTGTGATAAATGCACAATAGTCGTATATCAGTTGTGTTTTGATAGCCTCGTTCCGAGGGATGAAACGGGAAGTGATGAATGATGCTAAAGGAAATGTACTCTTAGTCTACTTCAATGTTGATTAGCGTTCAAATGGAAGATACTATTTTAGAAAGGAGGATCAATGAAGATGAGAGATTAACCCTTTTTGAATCGAATTAGTAGGATGGATAAACCAGGTAAAAATGAAATAATATGAGGCAGGTGTTTCCTGTGAAAGGGGACGAATAAGAAAACCTTTAGTCTTTAGAGTACTTTAGTAGTCTTTATAATTACTATATATCCCGTCTGGGAACAGTATATCTATGTTCCTGATCCTGTTAACAGCAGATATACTGCAGTATATATTTTGGTCTTTTGGAAAATGTTGTTTGTGCTGTATTTAGACCCCTCTAACAAGAAATTTGTTTTGCATGCACACGTATAAAAATTGCGGTTTTTATCCAACGCAATCATAGGTTTGAACGTTGTTTTCAATTTAGACTTGTTTATATTTTTTCGTTTGGGCTTGTATTATATTTGCCTTCGGGTTTATATGATCCGTTCATCCTATTTTGAGTCCGAAAAATTCAAGAGTCTATCCTAAATTGAGGTAAATTGTATGACTTTCCAAATACCGTTTCGATTCCTAACATCACTGAAGAGACATTAATTGTCGAAATCTGGATATGGTGTACATAAACCTTTGCACCTTTTGTTTGCGGTATATCATCTTTTCCGCAAGTTTATTGTTTTCTGTTAGTATTAAAAATTTAATAAAGATCCATTGATTACATCTGTGGTCCGTTTATTTGGCAATCGCCAATGGCAGTCAGCAGGGTTTAAGAACATTTGTTGTTCGACCTGTTAGTCAAATGCGTTTTGTTAAAATATACTTTTTCACTTTTTTTGGTCTTCTGGAAAATGTTGTTTGTGCTGTATTTAGACCCCTCTAACAAGAAATTTGTTTTGCATGCACACGTATAAAAATTGTGGTTTTTATCCAACGCAATCATAGGTTTGAACGTTGTTTTCAATTTAGACTTGTATATATATATATAGATATAAGAAGATGTGGTATGAGTGCCAATGAGACAACTCTCCATCCAAGTCACAATTTGTAAAAGAAAAACCATTATAGGTCAAAGGACGGTCTTCAACATGGAGCCTTGGCTCACACCGAACAGCAAGCTAGAAAGGGCTCCAAAAATTACTAGTGTAAAACCATTCAAACAGGAAAACCAACGGTCTAATCTATATAAAAAACGAGAAACACTTATGAACCACATCAACAAACGACAACTACTGAACATCAGATTCCTGACTTGGGACAGGTGCAAACAATTGCAGCTGGTTTAAAAGTTTTAATGGTACCAAACCTTCACCCTTATCTTTAACAATAGTGTAATGTCTTTTTGTTTAAAGTCTAACGGAAGGGAAAACAACATTAAATCAAAGTCAACCATAAATTATAAAAAGGACATCATAAGAATACAAATTTTATTGTTATTGTGTTGTTGTCCATATTAGTTTCGGTAATCATACATATGAATTTTCAGGAAATCGTATGACTTGCATTGCAGCATCCGCCAGGGGCAAATACAACTGTTTGAAAAAGTTTGAAAAAACGTTTACCATTATGATTTTATTAGTATATTGATTTTTTATTTTGATTTTTAGTAGTTTTATATATTTGCTTACTATTATAAGGTACGTCCCCATAACATTTTACTCAAATCTTGAGCCTAAACGATACTGGAAAAGATTTCTGTGCAGATGCGGGAAAATAAAAGTCTGAAAAAAAGTTAACGATTTTGAGTTCATTAGTAGGCTACAGACCACAATTAATTCCCCTCTTAGTTCTTTATAACATTATGTCGCATTAAAAAATATTTACCTGCTTTTTTTGTCAAATCTTTTGTGTGTGTAATGTACAGTACAAGCCCAAAAATATATCCAACTTTCAGAAAAATTGCATGTTTACATCTTACAAATTTAGCCAATACACATTCATACCCCTATAGACAAGTCAAGAGATGTTCTGAAAACTGTAAATATTACCTTTTTGCACCTGGCCTAATCACTCTTTCCATATCAAAATCAGTTAATATAAAACATCCAAAAATTTATTTCAGCTCTCTTCTTTCATTTCCACTCCATAAAAAGTAAGAAATGTTTGAGAAAGGGAAAGAAAAAAATAAAGAAAAAATACACTTTAATTAAAGGGAACTATATTTGTGGACAACGAAAAGCGAAAAGCGGAATCAATAATTGTGGTCTGGGGCCAGTAGACTAGAATGATTATTTTGATTTTGATTTTTTTTTTTTATTGATTTTTCTACCGTTATAGGGGACTTCCTCCCCTTATAATCATTTGCCTTCGTGTGTTTTACATGTACACCACCCTTGGTTTTGCATGTACGTCTTTACTCTTATGTCATGAAAGTATATATGAGCTTTTGTATCCATTAATCATTATCATAATGTCAGTTAAATGAAAAAAATCTTGATCCTTAAGTCCCTCAACCACAGCCTCAGGCACAGACCCACCAGCCACCAAAATGCTGTTTGGCCTGTAAAAATCATCTCTGCAGACCAATAGACCTTATCGTTATTTGGAAATCTGCACCGCTTGACCCAAGAATCTGCACCTCTTGAACTATTGACGTCATACAACAATCACTTTTCCATTGTGGCGTCAGATGTTTTTTATTATGACGTCAAATTTTGACAGGAACCTTTGTGATGTCCAGTAATGGCGGACAAATAGCGATAAGGTGTATACTAGCAATAGAATCTGAACTAAAATTTTTCATAAAATTCAGCTTCGGGCCTGTAGATTCAAAAGTTTATTGTGAAGACCAATCCTTATCAAATACCTGAATTCTGATGACACCGAACGGTTTTGAGAGCCAATAATAATGATGTGGCTGGTACAAGTGAAATGCCTGATCTTCCAATAAATGCATTTTTCTCGGAAGTTACTGTATGTCACATAGCCAATATCTTCATATCACAATAGCCTATGACCCATTTGTCCCCAAATGAAAACAGGTCAAGCAATTTAAATTATTCATAAAACTGTAATTAGAAAGTTGTATATCAGCACCTAATCAATTTGGCACCTATAGAAAAAGTCATCTGCATCTAGTCAAATTAGCAGCTGCTCAAATTGTCACTCAAGCTATTTTAGCATTTGGTTATTCGAATCAATTTAGCACCTCATATGATTTTTACCTTCAGGCGTTTTCCTTAATTTTTGTACAGAAGCAACATGCAGAGGTAGGTTGTTTGTTTTTCATAAAATAAAAAAACATCTCCGTTACTACAGACCAAAAGTGTCTTCTAAGTTCTATGACAGTAGGATTGGATAGGTACTAAACAATCTTCCAAAATAGGGTTATCGACCTTGCCAACAACACTAAGATTATTCATAACCGTTTTTGAAGGTTTGTTCTCAATATATAGGTAAACTTTTTGACTTGGATGGAGAGTTGTCTCATTGGCACTCATACCACATCTTCTTATATCTATAAACGTGCTCAGTTTTCTTTATTGTGAACTTGAACATAATTTACCTGTGTCTGTTAAATGAAAACAAATAATTTTAAAGTATTGGTATGTATCGTTTTGAATAAGCCACATATTGTATATAATGTACATGTATACATGGATGTATAAATACTCATCCACGCATGCTATTTTTATTTTAATTTTATAAATTTTGACTTGGATGGAGAGTTGTCTCATTGGCACTCATACCACATCTTATATCTATGACCTTTTTTGTATATATATATATATACAGTTATTACAATGTATATATATATATATATATATATATATAAACAAGTCTAAATTGAAAACAACGTTCAAACCTATGATTGCGTTGGATATAAAAACCGCAATTTTTATATGTGTGCATGTAAAACAAATTGCTTGGTAGAGGGGTCTAAATACAGCACAAACAACATTTTCCAAAAGACCAAAAAGTGAAAAAGTATATTTTAACAAAACGCATTTGACTAACAGGTCGAACAACTGATGTTCTTAAACCCTGCTGACTGCCATTGGCGATTGCCAAATAAATTGATCACCAGATGTAAAAAATGGATCTTACATATTAATTTACTACTAAACAGAAAACAATAAACTTTCGGAAAAGATGGTATACCGCAAACATGAGGTGCAAAAATTTGTACACCATATCCGTATTTCGACAATTAATGTGTCTTCAGTGATGTTAGGAACTGAAACTGTATTTGGAAGGCCATATAATTTACCCCAATTTAGGATAGACTTTTGCATTTTAAAGAGTCGAAATAGGATGAACGGATCATATAAACCTGAAAGAAAATTTAATACAAGCCCAAACGAAAAAATATAAACAGTTTCTACAAAATTGTTCAACAGCATTATACATGTATGATAGTGAGAAATTAAGTGTTTATAGAAATTTAAAGTTGTAATAATGTTCATCCACTTTCAAAGCTAAGAAGTGGTCCTGTACATTGAAACTAAATGTTGAAGTTGGTTGTTTTGCTAATATACTAAGAGAAGTACATTTATATATATGTGTGTTTTTATATGCGTTGAGAACAAATTACATATCCTATTTTTATGTTCCAGCAAATACAGACATGACAGAACAATCAGTTGTAATTTTTTTTTATGTCCTTTACCCCTTTAAGACATTTGTTCAATACATTTATAAAAATCTACCAAAATGATATTTAATATTCTATTCTAATAATATTTGAATTATTTGACATTTTTGTCTTAAAAAGTGAAAATGTGTAAGGAAATATTCATACTAATAGCTAAAATTGCCATTATTCAATAAGAAAACATGAGAATTCCTCAGCAGGAAGTTTAATAAATGAAGCAACTGAGATCTGATGAAAAACTGAATATAATTGAGATTTATTATTATTCATATGAATTAATGGAGATGTGGGATTGA